AATCCTGCGTTGGAGCGTGAAGAGGAGGGGAAAAAACAAATGAATATTACTGAATTTAACTGAAATGTTGTGATTAAAAAACAAAGACGAGGATACTGGTCTGAATGTTTAATGACACTGACATAAATAAAAAAAATGTTGTAAATGATGCAAACAAGGGTGAGGACATGAATTTTTTTAGCCGTATAAATCCCCTAACACTAAATTTTTATTTCTATAAAAAATAATTGTGAAATAACTATAATAACTAAGCTAATAAGCAACAACAATTTTTTAAAAAAGTAATGGTACCTTTGAAACAAAAATGAAATCTGGTATGTTTTTTTTTTAAATCTATGTTTTTAAACGAAACCAAAAGAAAGATTAATGTTTGACAGAACTTTGAAATTTTTGACAGCACTAAATTGCCTTCAAAGACAACACATGGTCTTCTTGGTAGATGATAGCAAAGTCTACAGTGGGTGGGTGCCAATACATACACCCTTTATTTTGAAAAACGTTGTTACGACATTAAGAAATGTATTTTTGTCTTGTGTAACTTCTAAGGATGGTGTGTGATCATAATAGCTTTTTTTTCTTCTTTTCTCCAAGCAATTAACAAAACTGTTCGTAATCTATTTTGGATCTAAATTAATAAATAAAGATAGATTTATTTATTATTTTTATCAAGTGTGAAAATTAAGTTAAAATTAAAAACAATAACAAAACGAAATAAATGACATTTGATTTCTTTCTTCAAATTAATGTGCATTATTCGTCGAGAGAAAGATAAAAATGACACAAGAAAGATATACAGGAATATTACAACTAAATAATATACAAAATAAATGTTCATTTTCTAAGTGGTGTTTATTTTTTAATTGCGATAAAAGAGAAAAACAAGCCAAATTTTCTTATTTGGTGTCACTTCTTTCAGGGCATGTCGTCGTCAAGAAAGAAAAATTGAAATAAAGAACGAAGAAAGTTCTTTGATGTTCCTTTTTAAAGTCATGGTAATGTTGACTTATCTAAGAAGAAGAAAGCAGGAGTGGTTGGTTTGGTTTGATAGAGCCAACAACAATTGTAGTAAGCCGAAATGAAAAGGATGGAGAGAGAAAAACTTGGCTACTCACATTAAAGGAAGTGAAGAAATTATGGGCTGCTGACATGTCTGCGAAGCTGGGCGCTCTGAAGGGAGGAGGAGTAGAGCGAGTAAAGGGAGGAGGAGGAAATGGTCTAGAGAGTAAGGGGAAGAGATAAGAAAAGTGTGGAAAGAGGAGGAGTGTAGTAAGAGTGGGAGATAAGAATCAAAAGAAAGTGGGAGATGCTAGGAATCAAAATAAGGAAAATCCGTAAAGAAGTCAAGTGCGTGACGCCAGTCTTTTACTTTTCCCCTTCTTTCTTCTTTTTCTTTAATTAAAAAAAAAAAAGGGGGAGGCGTGGGAAATAATAGGTTCGATTTTAAACGAATCTACTCCTTGTAAGTATTTTGGAATTTACAACTACTCGACTTCAACTGACCTCCAGGAAGAAATAGTTTCTTTAATTTGGTGATTTTTTCTAAAAAATTGTTGTAATGAATGAATTATTGAATGCAGGAATTAAATAACGAACGCCAATATTTTCTTCGGAAAATACATATTTTTGATTTTAGCTGTTATATTTCAGGCTAATATGGATGTTTTTGCTTTTATTTAAAGTGAAATTAATTTTTATTGCTAATTTTCAATTTAAGACCCCAATTTTTCATCACTTTTTTTTTATGGAACCTGTCATCATCTCAGCAGAACTTTCATTGAATGGCTCCACCTGCATTTCAAAATAAATTTCCTTTTCAGACCGGAGATAACACAAGAAGAAGATTAAAATCTTAATTAGGTGGAAATAAATACCTGCATCAGCTTAACACAATTAATTGTAGTCTTTAAGATTATGCTTTATTGAATTTCAAATCCTGCACGACACAAAAAATGTTCAGTGTGTAGGAAAAGCTTGCAATACGTATAATTTTCTTTTCAAAATAAATACCTGTAGTCACGTAGTGTAAAAAAAACTTTACAGCGGTGTGAAAGTTTCAACCTTAAGTTAGAACACAAACATTACGTTGGAAGGGTCGAGATTGTATTTTTTTTTTTGACATTTTGAAATTAAAATAATAAAAAAAACCTTAGGTAGGCAAACTTTTTTTTGTTTAAAAATAGTAAAATTATTTACCACCTGAATAAACTTGAACTGTTTTTGTCAGAAATAATTAAAAAAACAACAACAAAAAAACGTGGAGATATTGCTTGACGGGTACTCTGATTATTATTTATTTCATAAAGTCTAAAGTCTTTAAAGCATTTGACAACAACAATATCAAACTGGAAAATAACAAAACTGTCATTTTATTGAGACGAAAAAAACACGTTTTTAGTTTCCTCAGTTTCAAAATATTTCAGTAATTCAAAAAAGAACATACATTTTTTAAGTAAAACAACTTGTAGCAAATCATTTGTATTTTTAAAAAGTATTTAAATACAAAAATGAATGTTTTTAAATTCATTTTTACACATTCCTGAGGACTACTTGTCTCAAAACTTCAAAAGTCAAAATGTTTTTTTGTTTTTATTTTTAGTTAAAACTCCTTTTGTATAAACTTTTTTTTTTACCTGTATGAAATGAAATAAAAATGTTTCATTTGAAAGAATTGTATTTTTATTATCATTTTGATAAGTTTTTATATTTTTTGGAAAATAAAATTGGTTCATAGTATTTTTCACAAATTGGTTATTGGAATGCCTGAAATTATTTGGGATGAGTGTAAAAGTGAAATCGATTGTGAAAAATCAATAATGGTACCGATTGATTTTGTTTGAATGTTTCCTTTTGGGCAAAGGGTCATACAAAAATTATTCATGAAAAAGAAATTTGTATTTGACTTGGAGTTACAAAAAAAAAAAATACGAGGAAAATGGAAAACTAAGTTTTACAGACGCAACTTATTATTTTTTTATTTAGGCAAATTTACATTAAAAGAATAATTTCCTAATTTTAAATAATTTTTAGTATATATTTTTCCAAAATATATATTTTTTAAAACTTAAATAAAACATCATGTCACAAATGGAAATTTTTTGTCATAATTGGAATATATTCTATTTTTACATGATTAATTAGTGAAGGAAGATATTTGCAAATGCTTTGAAAAATTATTAATTTTTGTTTTACAAGTGTCTGTAAAAAGTAAAAACTATTATTATGCAATAAAAATTTTATAAGACTTTTGCCTAATTTTTAAAACAATTAGAACTTATCTAATTTACATTATTTTTTTTTATTTTTAAATGAACTTTGTTCAATGTCACTATCAGGATTTTTAGTTGTCTGATAATTCACAAATTCCTTCCCCCCACCCTCCGAGAAAAAAATGGAACAAACTTCGACAAAAGCTCACTAAAAGTTTGTCCCTGAAAGGACAAATTCATTCATAGAAATATATTTAAATTTAATGAGACTACGAAATTTGCAAAAAAAAAAAACCCAAAAAACTAAGGCATGAAAATAAATAATCCTTCCTTAGGAACATATCCAAAAATCTATATTTTTAACTTAAGCTCTTGGACTAAATTCTTAATTAACACGTAATTTATTTTATTTTAAAAAGCAAAACGATCACGTGATTATTTATGAATTTTACTTTAAAAAGTAATTTTTTATCAATGACGACACGTGATTTTTTTTGTTTGTAAAACATGAGTAGAAATGGAAATCAACAGAAAATAATTCTTTCACCACCCAGGGAAAGGAGGTGTATTTTTAAAATGAATATTGTTTAAAGAAGGTAGTGAAAGAGAAAAGAAAGAAGAAAGTAAACCCAAGTAAGAAGAGAGAAAAACGGAAAGGGTCAATGAATAATAGGAAAATCATTTAAAAAGAAAAGAAACAACAAAAGAAGCAGTCGTCGTCGCTGTCCGTCTTGATGACGGCGAATGGCGCGCAGCAAACAACGAAGACGGAAAAGAGAAAGAAGAAGAGACAAAGTCAGTCTAAACCAGAAAAAACCAGTTAAAACCAAGTGCGATGTACGGCAGCGGCCATAAAGTCGGGGATCAATTTCACTTGCCTTGTATCTACTTCCAATTCCAGCTCTTGAAAATTAAAACCAATTGAAAATAAATTAACAAAAAAAAAAAATTAAGACGTTTATGAAGATTTTTTTTTAAAAATAAGTCATAAATTGCAAAAATTAAAATTGTTTTTTTTTAACCGTTTTACTGTAAAAAGCCGCAAAAAACAAAGTTGAAAAAGTAAACAAAACCGCAGGCTGCTATTCTTGTTGATAACTACGTTTTGCATCGCAAAAATAAAAGTTCGAACCAAATGCTTTATTTTAAAATAATTAAAAATACTTTGAGAATTAATTTATTTTAAATTAAATTGAAATAGTTCTTTTGTTTTGAATAAAATCAGTAGTGTCAGATTGGCATTGCACTACAGGTAGTTTTTTTTTTTTACCGTAACCACGTAAGCAGGATATGTTTTACAATTTCTTGCTTTTTTTTAAACTTATTAACTAAGTTTCTATATTTCATTTTTATTTATATCACACTTTTTAGATTTTAATTTTTGCAATTAAATTCATTTATTTCTCTAACCTAACTAACGTAAAGTTATTGAGTTTATCGTTTTGCGAAATACTAAATAGTCACATTTCCTTCCACATGTGATGTCCAGTTTTTTTAAAAACTTAGTTCAGAAAAAATAAAGTTAATGATTTTTTTGTTACACGTACAGCTTTCAACTTTATGAACAGTCGACTCAATGTCAAAGTCCATTATGTTTTTTAGTTTTAAATACATCCGAAAAAGAAAAAAAAAAAGATAAAGATTTGACGTTAAAAACAGTTTGTTTTAGGCGCGAATTATTTGGGTAATACTTGCTTCGTATTTTTAACTTTTCTACGTTTTCAAACTTTGTATCTGAATGCCTGAAAAATGAAGGAACTTATAGATATGTAAATAAACGAATTTTAAGTAATAATGTCTGTCTTTTCCGAAAAAGACTTGATCGTTTTTATCTTGAATGAAAAATCAAAGAAAGCAATATTCAAATTAGCTCTTGCCGGAAAGTGCCGAACGCGGCCTTTCAGTTTGACGAAAACAGCCGAAGTAGGTTAGCATGTACCAGTTTCAACCGGTTGCAAAGGTGGCTTTGCTTTGAGGTGTCAGCGCGAACGGCTACTATTGATAGCTAAACGTAAAGCTTGGACGAAACGGTAAGATTTCATTTTTCTTGAACTATTTCCTTCTCGGATCGTGTACAGGAAAACATGGATCTATTGTAACGACTGTAACTGAAACAAAACAAAACTTTATCATGTTGTAATTATGGGCGCCGCCATGTTTGCCGAAGTAAACAACGGAAGCGCATTTGATTCGTCTAATCGTATCGAAGGTGCGTGAATTAAAAAAGAAAAGAAAAAAAACCTTGATACAAGTGGATTAAAAAACCCCTATATCCCTCGTCACGTTTTTAAAAGCTTTCTTCATTTTACTCTCATCCTAAGTATAAATATTACTTTCTTTTTCTTTTTTTTATACCTGGTTTTGATGCGATTTGAACCCGGGATTTTCCTGCCCTCGTCCATTTTTCTGTTTTCTTCTGGTCACATTTACTAGTAGACAAAATCGACCATCATTTATCTTGTTTCTACTTTTTTTTTTTTAAAAAAAAAAAAAAATAATTTTCTCTCCAAAGGAAGAATTAACTAATAAAAGGAAAATAGTGCGTGACCAATAATTGGGGGATCAATTTTCTAGACAAATTCAAATTGCAACTCGTCCCCCATTTTTCCGAAGTCCTATTCGAAATTGTGGACTGCTTCCGATCCGATTTTTGATTACACGACCGACCGTTATCTTCTTTTAAAACTGTTTTTATTTATGTCGTCTTTGCCTCACCTTTTGGCTTAATAATTGCCGTCTTCTAATTTTATCACAATGAGCTCCTCTTTTTTTTTTTTTTAAATATTAACTAAAAGATCTTTTAATTTTACACCAGAATAGTTTGATCGCGAGCACTTTGTTACTTAGACATGTGCCTTGTATAGTTTTTTTCTTTTCATTTCGAACAACTTTAAAAAAAATATTTTCTTTATAATATCTGATTTATTCTTATTGATGACATTTTAAACGTATTTAAAATGATAATCTTTCCGGATTACTCTTTATAATAGAAATAATCCCGCTCATTACATTTGTTTATATTCTCTTCATCAGTCCTTTAACTGAAGACATTAGCGAGCCCTAAAAAATAAAAAAAAAAAATTGTCAATTATTTCATTAATATTTTAAAAAATCCGGTTCTTCCCATTAAAAAAAAAAAATCCCATACTTTTAAAACTCCGTTTTCTTCCCAATCTTGGAATCATCAGTTACTTTTTGTTTCATCAATATTGTCAATTTCATATTTTAAAAACTAAAGTTTCATTATTTACTACTAGTTTGAGGTTTAGACCAACCCATTGATTGCGAAGGGTGCGGCAGAAATAAAGGGACAGGAAGATTATGTTGCGCCAATATTTCATATGAAGTGTGCTTGACACTTTTAGTTTTAAGTTTTAATTAATCACCATTTGATTTTTTTTTTTTTTTTTTAGTCCTCGACCTCGGCGGCGCTGGTGGGAAATTAGAATATTTTTGTTACAAACAATTCTTATTTCAAGAATTTTGATAGTCCTCTCCCCGCAATCAATTTTTAAAAATATGACCAGTCTTCGTTTTTTTTGTTTTTTTCAATCTTTGCGTTAAAAACAAAATCATCCTTACCCGCGGAATCGCCTGACTTCGTTTTCTTTTTTCTCGAAAGTAAATAAATACACAAAGAAACCAGCCCATGTGGATTTCTTTTTACTAATCTGCGAAATAATGTCTTTGAAACGGGACAATTTCATATTTTTTTTTTTTTTTAGCTAAGAAAAGTTAGTTTGGTTGCTCAGGGTGAGGGGGAATAAGTACTGACCCCCACCCTCAATACCTGCAAGCAAAAACTTAAAAAAGAAAAAAATTATCTTTATTTTTTTTTCTATGTTCAGACAAGTTACCTTTTGAACTAAAAGCTTTTAAAACTTAAGATTCAAATTCAAATAAATGTCAGGTTTCTTCTCTGTTGGATGAGTTCGGTTCCAAACGAGAAAAACAAAACTGAAGTTGAAATAAAAATAAATTGATACAGATTCATGTAGCTAGGTGAATTTCACAAGTTCTTAAGACTAGACTTGTTGACCGTAAGTTTAATTTTTTTTTTTTTTTTTTTTTTTTTAAATAAATTCTAAAATGAAAAGTAAAGGATTATTTTTAATTTTATGCATACCTTTTTTAGGATTTTAAATTGTTAGGCGTTCAGATTTTAAAACAAATTTAACAATTTTTTTTTTCTCACTTAACTCAATTTTCTGTATCTTCTGGAAAATTCATAAATTTCCTATTAAAGATTATTTGATTTATCAACGTAAAAATGAACTTAAAAAAAATAATTCTTAAAACAATGGCAAATGACAATTTAAAGGTCCCAAAGCTGCTTTTTTTTCCGCTTTTCATCTGGTAAATTTCCATTTCTTGTATTGTTGCTTAGTAAGTTAGAAGACTTGCTATCTCTTTCGAATAAAGCTCTTGAATAAATGCAAACAAACTTGATTGAATTAAGAAGTTCTAAGAAATTAAATCTGCAAATAAAAGTAGGTAGAGACTTAATATTGCATCTTTATCTTTTTTTTTTTTTTTTCGTTTTGGTAAGTTTGATTGGACTTTGGAAGTTTGAAAATAACGATAACGATGAGTTGCTTTAAAAACTTGTTTTAGTTTTTTTTCACAATACAATTATGACTATTATTTCCTTACTTCCTCATTATTAGTTGGTTCGCTAATTAAACTACTCTAGTTTTACTCTAACTTCTTGATGAAGGGTTTTATTCTAGAAAACATATCCGAAGCTTGAATAACATCACGTAAATTTTCTAAGAAATAAATAAAACAAAAGAAAATCAGCAATTGACTTTGGTAAAGTGTTCTGGTGCTAAACAAGCACCAAGCAAATCGTAGAGAATTATTAATTCATCCAGAATCAAAAATGCTGTGGTTGTGTCTGGTGTCTGTTTTTTTTTTTTTTTTCCTTCCTTCTTTCTTTCTCGATCTCTATGACGTCACCGTTCTGTCAAAACATTCTTCGATTCTTTAAAAATGGCACACTTACGAATAATCGTGCTTTGCAAGTGTTTAAAATTAATATTGACCTTTTTCTTTTGTTAAGCAACTTTCAGAATTCGAACATGACTCTTTAAAAAAAAAAAAAAAAAACTAAAAAGGTTCGATATTTGATTAATCTTAGTGTTGAATTTGAATAAAGCATTCTCTCGTCTCTTTTTCAACACTTGGAAAACATCTGAGTTTTAAAAGTTAAATTGATTTATTTCTTTTATTTGCCGATTTAATTTCTTTCTTGCATATACAATTATGACGAGTTAATTATCACAGTGCAATTATTAGCGATCATCTGAATTGATCACATGTGTTCGATCTTTTCAGGGAACAGCATAGGTGAGAAGATAATCTCATAAACTAAACATCAAATCTTTTTCTTCTTCAAGCTTTCTTTTCCGTGGGCGGAGATCGATCGAGATTATTACGTTCGCTTCTTTACCGACTCTTTCTTTTATTGATTCGCAGAAACTTGAATTGGAAGTAGACATTTCGTTCGTGTAACCCACTCTCCAAGTTGTTGTTGTTGTTGTTTATTTCCAACAATTTATATTTTTTCTTTGGCGCGAAGAGGAAGTTCAGTGTAAAAGGACTAAGTTTTAGACAGAGAAATACTTAATTTTTAGTTTTTTTTTTTTTTTTTTTTTCTAACATTAACAAGCAATTATTCATTCATTCATAGAATTGTTTTGCTGAGTCGGAATTGATAATATTAAAAAACAAGAACAGTGTTTATTCCCTTTTTTCTTTTACTTCATTAGTCACTGTAGTCAGCAATCAATAAATTTTTATTCCTGCTGAAATTTCATGATGCCAGTGACACATATGGAAAATATTTACTTTATTTTTTTCCATATAGGTCCTATGTTATGAACTGAAATAACATTTGGTAAAAAAATAATTTTTCTAGGAAATTTGTAAATTCTTTTAAAAAATATTTTCCTAAAAAGGAAAAAAAAATCTGAAGATTTAAATTTTTATATTCAATGCAACTTGACATTACGAATATTGTATAGCGAAAATTTCTGGATGGCATTTAAATCAATCAGTATGAGGAACTCATTGCAAAGCTTTAAGTCGTCGATTGCTTTAGTTGTTCTTCTATAATGGGTTTCATTCCATGTTTTACAAAAAAATTCTTTAGAATATTTATTTAATTTTATGCTTTTTTTTTCTCTCCACATTAGATTTATTTCCCATATCCATAAGTTAAATGCAATAAACTTAATTGTATTATTAAACTGTAAACATAATTCCAACATTTTGAATTTTATTTTTAATATTCATTAAATTCTATTTCATAAACGTTTTCTAATAGTTGTAACTGACCTGGCAGTAGAGATTAAATTAGTCCCAAATCTCCTCTTAAAAGTACTTTTTCTTTTCTTCAAAGAACAGGAATTGAAGAAAAAAATGTTACAGCATGTGTTAAAGATTGAAATTTAAAACTGTTTACACTTAAAAAAATTTTTTTAGTGATTTTTAAGTTTCATTTTTTAAGTAATTGTGAAGAAATAATGTGAATATTTCAAGGGAATTTTCTTGTAACAAAAGAAAAAACCCTTTCAGTCATGACCAAATCCATGATCTACTTTTGGAAAATAATTTTTAAAAAGATTGTAGCATTGTAGATTCCTTGTAATTTACCATACAACAAAGTGATGCTTTTTTTTTTTTTTTTTATTATGTGGAAATGGCAATCTTAGGCTATTATCTATTAGTCTTGAGAAATCATGGACATATATCTTGGTAATTCTGGTTCAGTTGGTGATGGATGGTATGCTGTAGTTGTACAGATTCACCAAAGGTGACTCTGTTCACTCAATATCTGGAATGTGCCTTAGGCAGTGAAGATGGAAAATGTTGAGTATGTATGCACTATAAATTGCAATCTGGCTTTTTCCCCAGACTTTCTTAGTTAGCTTGGTAAGTGTGAAGGCTGTTTGTTGATCTTAGGGTTCAAGCATGCAAAACTTTAGCAGTTGTTGCCCAGTGCCATTTACATTGACAGTCCCATGACAATCGTAGACAACTTGGCCAGGAGTTGTGGTCAGCACCTTCTCTGGCTTTGAAGTTGCCAAGTAGCAGCAACTCTTCTTGATTTGGGATTTTCTTTATTTTTATTGAGAGCTTGTCATAGAACTCCTCCATTGTGTCTTGTTCAAAGTAGAGGGTTGAAATGTAAATGCCGATGAGATTGATGGTCTAGCAAAAATGTGCACAGTCTAAATCCTTTCTGATTATACTCACTCTCCCAATTTTGTGTAGGTGTTACAATCTGTCTGTTCATAAGCACCTATCCATATTGAGGTTTTTTGTTATTATAAATAGCAAGATCATATCCATTGCTGGCTTCTTAGGTCTGTCTTGTAGCTTATACCACCTGGTATTGCCTAGGTGACACCCATCTGAGTATTGACCGGGATCAGTGTTGCTTGACTTTGGTGATTGAATAAATTTTTTTGTGTGTCACATGTTCCGTCGTCTAGTACTTCATCCTTGTATTTCAACATATGACAGTAAGCTGGCTTGGTTCTACCATCCTTTAGCATTCAACCTGCCCTGCAAATATCGGCTCTCGACATTCAACTCATCATATATATATATATATAAAATCATCACAAATAATGCAGGAAGTCATGCAAACAGTAAAACTTTCAAAGCTGGGGGCTGGTTTGACAATACCATGCTCTCTGCTCTTTTTCCCTACCAGAAGAAGGCTGTTTGTAATGTAGGATTCTTGATTTTAGTAGTTGAGTTTGCAGTAATCCATTGTTAACCATTGCAGTTTTGTTTGTAATGCTGATCACTCAAGTGTTATCTGCTAGGTCATGGTCTATATGTTCTAACATCCAACTATGGTTCTGGATTTGTCTTCAAGGTTTACTCCCAAAGCCTTTCTCATGATTGTGTGTGGTCATGGAGGCTTTCTCTCATGCTGACAAATTTAATTTATCCAAATTAATAATCCATTTGCAACAAAAATAAGAAATATAATTTTGGGTATGGAAAATTCTTGCGTATGTTTTTTAATTTTAAAATATTTACAATTCAAGTAATGGGAGCAAATGATGTATATAAATTTTTATATACCAGAAAAAAAGAAAATTAAATTTAAAAGTTTGAATTTTTAGTGTCTCCTTTCCTTCATGTGCATGTATAGTGATGTAAATATCACTTTAGTCTGATTAAGTCCAAGAGGACAGAATGTGTTGCATGAAAAAAATTTTTTTCTATTTTACCATTAATTAAAGTGGCTCATCTATTGCCCAGTTCATGATCCTTCCCCATCTTTTGAACAGAAGTAGAGGTTTATCTCTTGTTTCCTGTTTGGGATTGGGTTTTCAGTTCCTTCTGCTAAAGTCTTCTCATTAGCCCCATTGCCTTTTAGTGGCATTATCGCCTTGCTTGGGTTGAAAAGATTAAGAAAAAAAAATTATAGATTTTATTAATATCATAGAAAATGAACAGAAAATTTATTAATGATTCAAATTAAATTACCTTTCCTCTTCCTCCTTTAAAAAAAAAAAATCAATCATTAAAATCCAGCATAGATTTTAATTTTATATTGAGTTGGGAAATATTATTCCAGTTATAAAAGAAAAATGTAAAATATTTTGTGATGAATATTGTCAAAATTAAATACCTTTTTAAGAAGAGCTATTTATTTATAATGTGGACTTTAGAATGAATTTCGTTCAAACTGTCTTAAAAAAAAAAAAACTCTATATATATATACACACACACACACACACACACACACACATTGTCTAATAAGTTGGAGCATGTCAATAAATTTATGTATTAGGAATTTCAGAATTGTATTTAAGTTTCTTGTTACTGTTTAAATGTGTATCTATTTTGTGCATTAACATTTGATGTCCATTAAAAAAAAAAAATGTTTGATAAACACAAATGACATAATCAATTTGTCTTTTGGATATGTCTATCATTCAATTCTTCATTTTCAATTCTCCATTTGTGATTTCATGTTTCACTCTTATGTTTTCTCCTCTTTATTCTCACTTAACAGCCACATTCATTTTGATTTTATCTTGTAGGCTCTGCTGATGTAAGAGTGTGACCTGATGCCACCTATCATAATGGATAACATTGCAGAAGAGGCAGCTAAGCTTCTGGATTTTAACCAGAAGTTAGACATTAGCTTATTGGATGATATAGTAGAATGCATGTATTTAGGAAAAGGTCCTGAGGTGAGACACATTTCCTTGGCAAAATTCATACAACTTGTTATATATGTTTACATTTTTCTTCATTTAGCCCACCCTAATTTTCAATAAAAAGAATGTCTAATTTATATTAGTAATCTTTTTTTTTTTTTTTTTTTTTTTCAGTAAAATATTTAACCTATTTTGAACTTTATTTTCCAACAAAAGAAAAAAATAATTAGCCTGCAGTATTTTCATCTTTTTATTTATGTAAATTGTTTAAATTTTTTATAATTAAAATTTAAATTCACATTTAATTTAGGGGCTCATTGATAATTTTTGATTTTAAGATCTTTATTTAAATGATGCATGAATTGTATTGTTCAGTTCTTTGGCTTCTAAGCAAGTTGAATATTATCCTTTTTTTTTTTTTTTTTGTTGGTTTTATTGTTATTTTTTTCCCTCCCTAGCAACGGATGGCTCAGGAAGTTTTAACAACCTTAAAGGAGCATCCAGATGCTTGGACTCGTGTGGATACTATTTTGGAATATTCCGGCAATCAGCAGACAAAATATTATGCTCTGCAAATATTAGAAAATGTTATAAAGACCCGATGGAAAGTGTTACCTCGACCTCAGTGTGAAGGTATAGTCTGCAAATTCTCTTATTTACTTAGTTTACATTGTGAATAGATTAGTCCTTTTATATTTTATTTTAAATGCATTTATAGAAAGTAGAAATGCAAACCATTTAACATTTTAATGGAAATTTATCAATCACAAGTAAAACGAACCTTGTCTTCTCAGGATTATCCACTTAGCCAGTTCTCTTGAAATTTTAGCATTTTAACCATTATCTAATAAATTGAAAAGCTTGATATCTTTAGTAGCTTACAATGCCCAGGTGCCAAATCAGCTGTATGACTGTAAATTTCCAAATGAGTTTAATGCAATATTATTGTAAACTGCTTTTTAATATCTGGAAAAAATTATAATTTTTTTTTTTTTTTTTTTTTTTAAACTTCTATTTTTTGTTGTAGATTTATTTGCCTCTTCAATCTCATAAAATTTGTACAATTTTGAATATGTAGCCTAAGGGAGGAATGGGAAGTAATAATCTTTAATTTCTCTTCAGTAAGCCTTGGAAATAAATTTTATCATATATTTGAGGTTTATTAAAATTACAGGGCATTTTTATTTATTTTTTTAATTTCATTTTACAAAGATTTCTGATCACATAGCAAATTTTCAGTATCAGTGTTTGTGTGTATGTATGAAGTAATGAGTCTTATGTTGGGAATATGGGTCAGTAAAAATTTTGTAAAGGTTTTGCAGGAATTGCTTTGTATTTTCCAATGCAGATATCTAATAATAGTTGAGTGCTTTATGTATTTGGAAAGTTTTCTATGAATTTTATTAGGTTAAGAGAAATTATGTAATATTGCATGTAAATTAACCCATTTAATATAAATAAAGTTATGGGTTATTTTATTGTCTTGGAGCTTTACTCTCTTTCTCTCTACCTCTACTGATAAGGAATTTTGTGTGTGACAATTCCAGAAAATATTTAATATGTACGATAAAGACAGCTTCATTGTTCATATATTCTTTTAATTGTAATGGTTTGTGTATAACAGTGGTTTTGCAAACTTAGGCACCAAATGATTTAAGTGTGTTGTTGTTGTTGTGTTTTTTTTTTTTTTTTTTTTTTTTTTTTTTAAGGTTTTTGTAATGTTATCGATTAAATTAATAGTATTCTTGAGAATCCAGTTGCTTGATTGATTTTGTTAGTAAGGGCCAAAATAAAATTGAACACAGATTTAAAGAGAACTGTTTATCCACAAAGCGGAAAAAACTTGAGAAATTATCTTTTTTTTTTTTTTTTATTATTATTATTTTTTTTTTTTTTTTTATACTAATCTTGTTTTAATTGCAAATAGGAATTTTAAACTGAAAATATTTTAAAAACTTTAAAATATACTCAGTCACACATGCTCAAGAATTTAACTTGTCATATCTGCTGTTTCTATGGAATGTCTATATCACTATTCTATCTCCCAATAGTAAATGGTGTTTCAGTTCAAAATGCCGGTTTTTGTGTGTGCAAATGGAAATTTTCAAGCATTTACTGTCACTATGAAAAAGGAATATTTAACACATTTTGACTTTTTTTTTTTTTTATAATTGGGATGTAGTTTCAATAAGATATAAACATTAATTTTGCTTTCCTTTGTTGTTACAGGTATAAAAAAATATATTGTTGGTCTAATTATTAAGACCTCATCTGAGCAACAAATTCTTGAGAAAGAAAAAGTGTATTTGGGGAAATTAAATATGATTTTGGTACAGGTAAGTTGTGTTAGCCTCTCTTTATAAACTTGTAGCTTTTTTGGTTTTTGCTGAATGTTAGATAGACTCTAATGAAGCAATTCTTTTAGAATTGTTATTTTCTTTTCAACTCCAACTATGTTAGATATTTGTCTTTGTGCTGTGGTCATGCACACAGTTTCGGTGTCAGCATCTAATGATCATATTTTGCTTTTACATTCATGATTTTTCACAGATCCCTTAAATTTTCTTGTGGTTTTTTATGTTCATAATGTATAGAAAGCATCATTATACAACACTGGCTTAAGTTCAGTAGCATAAGCATATTGTTTATTGGAGTGGGGTTTAACGAGTAAGTACTGGTCATTAGAGGTTGCTATCCAAATAGGGTTCTCATTACTTTTGCACCTATATTGGGAAATAGTATTTTCTTAACAATGTTAAACAACAAGAGAAAGAGATTCTAAATTTTTTTTGTGTTGTAATTATTTTTGTCAGTAGAATCTTTGATAATTCCTTTTTCTCAGTACATGAAAAAGATAACCTGTTAATTTTACTAATCATGCTAACCTTTCTGTAACTGATTTGAATCTGCAAAATAGTTCAACCAAAAGAAGCTGGTAAATGAAGAAATATATTTATTGTGAACTATATTTCCCTTGTTGTAGATTTTGAAATATGAATGGCCCAGGAACTGGCCGTCTTTCATCAGTGATATTGTTGGTGCTAGCAAGACGAATGAGTCCCTGTGTCAGAATAATATGACTATTTTGAAACTGTTGAGGTTTGTTTTTCATTTTACTTTCTCTGAATGTTTTGTAAAAAAAGGAAAAAAAAATGAGGAAGCATTTTCTTTTTTTCTTTCTCTTTCCTTTCACTCAGATCTGTAATTTCTTCTGAATGCTCAAGCATTTGTTTGAATAATTTTGCAACATAATTCTTGAAATAAAAGGGTACTTCAGTATATTTACCAATGTTTTGCTGATGAATAAGCTATTAAATTTTTGCATTGACTTTTTGTATTTAAAAAAATGTTAAACTTACAAAAGCATTGCTTGAGATTAACATTTGTGTAAATTTTGCAAAGTTATCCAGTTAGTTTAAATAGACATGTTATGCAGAGAAGCAATAGTGTTTGCTAAGTGAAGTTTAGCTAGCTATGTTTTCTTGGCATTTTAAAAATTTTAGAAAATATGAAGTTATTAATGATTTTACAGGAAATTCTTTGTATATTTGAAAAGTTTTCTAACAAATTATGTAAAATGGCAGAATTGCTTGTAATTGAAGTTCTGTGCTCTTTTGCTTCACTTCTGAATTTACTGTTTGAAAATTTCAAAAAATATATTTGCTTTATGTCCAAAATGAGTTAATGTTATACTTTCCCTAAAAGCTTTGTGTTTTTTTTTTTTAAATATGGTTTTTATTTTTCTCATGTAAATGGAATTGTTTCTTTTTGTTCTAGCGAGGAAGTGTTTGATTTCTCCAGTGGTCAAATGACACAAGCAAAGGCCAAACATTTAAAGGATAGCATGTGTAGCGAGTTTTCTCAGATTTTTCAACTTTGTCAGTTTGTGATGGTAAGTACATAATTGAAATTCCAAATCATTGTCATGTGATGAAGAATGAAAGCTGTGTGAAACCTTCATGAATTATAGCATTCTGATTTCTCTTTTCAAAAGTCGCTGCCAGAGAAATCTTTAATTAAAGTTTGTATATTTAGCGGCTTAATACTGCTCTACATGTTGTTCTAGTGCTGTGTATCCAGTATCAAGCATCTGGTGTAATTTAATTTTGCCATCTCCACAATTTTTTTTTTTTTTTTTTTGTGTTGTCTTTTTCACATTGCATTTAAAGTTAATGCTATATAAAAGGATATATATATATGTTTTCTGATGAAGCTTTAATAAAAGATTGATAAATGTTTCCTATTTTGTACTTTATCTTCTGTCAGATTCAGATGCATATTTGATCCCATTTCATTTAAAGTTAATATTGTTTGTTTTTAAAGTTCTTTCCAATTAAATTTTGATTTTTAGGACAATTCTCAGAATGCACCTTTGGTTGGCTCTAATCTTGAAACACTGCTGAGATTTTTAAATTGGATTCCTTTGGGATATATATTTGAAACTAAATTAATTACAACATTAATCTACAAGGTAAACTATTAATTTTTTCTTTTCTTTTTCACAACCATCAACATTCAAATGAACTATAAATAGTTTGCTTTTTGCTTTTTTTTTCTCATTTTGTTTACATATTAGTTAGTGTTAAACAATGTAAAATTGAAAATAAAATAAAGTTCTATTTCTTGTATTGATATGACTATTCAACATTTTTAAGTGCATTTCTTGACCCCCACCCCATAGGTAAGAAGTCCCTTTTCTCAGCTTATGAATAATGCTTTATTATATCAGATTTATTATATAATAATAATCAATTTTTTTCTTTTTTCTCTTTGTAGTTTTTGAATGTCCCAATGTTTCGAAATGTAACTTTAAAGTGTCTTACGGAAATAGGTATGTACATTCTTTTTTATCATCAAAAAGAAACTTGAGAATGCTATTGAAGTTTTAAAAAAATTAGACTTATTAGATTTATTTGGGACAAAGATTTTATTCTTATACATAAAGTTATTTACTTCTTGAATTTTATTAATTTACCTGTATGTCACTTGTAATCTTAAACTCTTTTTAAACAGTAAAAACAATTTTAAGTACCTCTCTCTGTTGGTTAAGGGGGGAAAAAAACACAACAAAATAGTAGTAAAATTAAACAATGAATTTAGTTCCTTATTTTCAAAAATATATTTAACCTGGTGTTTGGGTTTCTAAAGTCTTTCTTTCACTTCCAGTAGCTCCTTGCGTCTTTGTGGCATTATCGCCTTGCTTGATTTAAAAAAAAAAAAAAAAAAAACCTTCTTTACATTGATCAGTTAAACATTGATTTGCTTATAACATTAGAAACATGCCAGTTGGCTGTATTTGCTTTCGAATCAGCTTGTGCAAAATAAGTGCTGCCATCAAGTGGTTGTGTGCTTCAAAGTTAAGATATTTATTTTTACTTTTCATAGATAATCTAATTTTGATGCCATAATAACTAGCTATATAGACTTAGGAATTCCCAGGAGGCCATGCTTAAATCTGGTGACTAGTTTGAAATGAGTAAAATAGATGAATTTATTTCAAATTATAACTCAAACTTTCACAACAATGACAGTAGTAGGTGTATGTGCTGTTGGTGGCAATACATACTGTGGGCCAATTAAGCTGATTATAATGACAATGGTTCTTTGGACAAAATAGATGATCCTGATGGTACACTTGGGTATAGCAGATCATGATTTTCTGTGAGGGTACCTCCTTCAAGCATGCATGTAGATGTAAATGTTGGTGACAATATTAAACATCAGGTTATAACTGGACTTTGCTTTGTGTAGCCCAAGGTGGTGTGATTGGCAAAGAGGTGGGTGTACATTACCCCAAGAATAAGTCTGTGCATTTGTCTGGGCCCTAGTGGTGCTTGATGACAAAAGCTTCTAATAAATATATTTAAATTTCACAAATGGAACTTAACCACATACCAAATTGGCAGTAAATCATTCTGAAAGAAAGCAGACAGGCCTTTGGAGACCTAGTTGTCGATAGTTGATGTTAGAATGTTGATGATCACCTGCTTATTTATACTGTCTCTCAGCATGGTTGTAAAGCATTAAGAGTAGTATGACTTATGAAATTTCTGATCTATATCAAGAGGGCAGCAAGTCCCATGACAAGGGTCAGTATAAGTACAATTTTCTGTAACAATTGCCATGTTGGATTGTCTAAATAATGATAGGAACAAGATGTACAATACTTACAAGGATTACCAGTTACATTAGTCTGACAATGTGATACCTAGATTTCATGACCTGCATATGTTTACTAACTGTTGGCAAGTAACATGAGTAGATAAGTTTGCCTATTGTCTGGTTCACACTCCTCCCTGGTCTTTTGTTTATCCCTTGTTTCCTTTTTAGATTGGGTTTCTGGTTCCTTTTAAAGTATTTTTATTCTCTTTCACTCCTGGCAGTTCCTTGTGTTTTAGATTATTGCCTTACTTAGGGTGAATTGATTAAAAAAATATATCCCTATAAACTAGGCCTCTTTCTCTGTATCTCTCTAACTCAAGTGGCTCTTGGGTCTTGCACAGAGTGAACACACTTGTAAAAAGAAGTGCACATTCAGTTTCTAAGGTACTCTATCCTTTGTTTATTTCTGGTGTTTACAGAAAACACCAAAAAATGCAATTATATTTTTCAGGTTTTTTTTTTTTTTTTTTTTGTCTTCTAACTACAAAAAATATACAGTTTATATCTATACCTGTAAAATATTTTGAAATTCTTCTAGAAGTTGACTTGAATTTTGCTGAGGCATTTCAGTGCTTGAGAAGGCATTGTTTTATATCAAAAGTTACAGTATGAATGCTTTTTTTAGTTAGAGCATAATCCTGCCTATGGTTTAGAGGGCTTAACGAGGTTGTTAATTTTTCTTAAAAACTGTTAACATTTCTAAATTTGGAATGGGTTGTGCGACTGTTGAAAAATGATTATTGTTACCTTTGTAAAGCCAATAGATATTTTCTCTTCCAAACAAGTTTGAAAAATCATTCATTTAAATATTTGCAGGTAACTTTTATTTTCATTTGCAATGTTATTAATCTGGCATCAAAGAAACATCAGGTTTAACTACTAAGTCATTTTAAGAATGCTTGATATTTAGTGAATAAATAATGATTTCAATTAGCTTGCTTCCTTATTAAAATCAGGGTTTGTATAAATTGCATTGATGATTCTTTTTTTCTGTCATAAATGTGATTTTACACACACACACACACACACATTGTGCATGTGGTTCAAAATTTGCTATGTTGTAGAAGAGTACTATAGATATTTTGTAGATATTGACAGTGTAGACATGGTCTAAAGATTGCTTGAGGTGTGAAACTGTTAGTCACATGTAGTGTTAATTCTTATACGCATGCTTATGTATATATTGTTACGAGGATGCATTTCTATAATAAGGGATTCCACTGAGTCCTACTTGTTATTACAAAAAAGTTTTCATTCATGAAGTCGTCGTAAAATAGAGAAATTAGAAATAGAATGTTTGGAAGATTCTAGATCATTCTAATATATTCGGGAAAAATTAGATGATTCGAGAAACATCTAGAAATATGCAAATTAGGTGTTAGCCCCTATAAAAATGGGATTTTGGAAAAGGGTTGTCAGTTGAAGGGACATTTCTGCTGTTATCAACTCTGGCTTTTGATTCGAGGACGATTATATCTAGCCGAAAGAATCTCTATAAAAAGTTGCTGACCAACAAAATCCCAAAAGAGAATTTCATGGAACAAATTTGGTAAATAGAATTTTGACTAATTTTTATTGACCAAACTAAAAATTAATATTTATTTACACACCTTTGTGGATTTCCAAATATAGCACTTAGATTACTTCGCTAGCCCTAAAGTGATAAAGATATTTGACTCACCTTCTTCCTCCCTCGTAACACTTCGCCAGTAACTCTGTTTTCTGTTTTGTAGGCCACAATCTTGTATATATTTTATGTTGTTTTAGTAAATTAAATATTTATTTGTGATTTAGCTCTGTGTTGTGGTAAATTCCTTTTTTTTATCAACACCTAACTTATATATATATATATATATATATATATATATTTATTTATTTTTTTTTTTCATGTTTTCTTATGTTTGTTTCACTTTCAGCGGCTGTGCAAGTGTCTCAATATGATGACCAGGTTACTCAGCTGTTTACAATGACAATGGAACAACTGAAACAGGTCACTATAGGTTTTATAGCTTAAATGCCTTGATTTTGATTGTAATGATGTAAAATGATTCCTTGAAAAAGTTTTGAGTTTAGATTTCATATGTTTATTTATATATATATATTTGACACAGATTGTAAAGAGACAATTATTGTGACCAGTTTGTAATGGAAGCTAAAGGTTTTTGCTTATTTGCTTCCAATAGTGGCATTTTCCTCTCTCTCTCCTTCTCCCTAATAATTCTATAAAGAATTGTTTGTCACATGAATATTATAGTGGCTAGTGTAATGGATAGCAACTCAGTTGGTTTACTTTCATTCACAAACACCATTGGGAAAGGTATGAATCAATTGCATTGTATTAAAGTTTTTTGGGTTTTTTTCTCAATATGGGTGAAGTGTCTTGTCTCTGTGCAGGACTTCACGTATCAATGATACGTTTTTTTTTTCCTGAAATAAGTCTAAAAAATTTGCCATTTTGTTATATAGGAATAAAGTGTCATTGCCAACACTTGAGTTTGAACATAGATCGCCACTAAACAAACACAGGTGATCCCATTATTGAATTAAGTAGACCACATGACCATAGAGAAAATGCATAAGTAGGTAGTAATGTGACGTCTAATTGATCACCATTTCTATTCTATCCTCTGTTACTATTGTGATCATCATTTCTAATCTATCCTTTTACTATTCGGATTGTCATTTCTAGTTTATCCTTTATTACTTTTCGGATTGCTATTCTCTGCTCTATTCACTATACTGTTTCTCTATTCAGGTCACTATAAGGGTTACTTGTTGAGTGAGTGTTATTTGCAGGCGTTTGACACCAGTATTGTCCAATCGCATACTATATTTGTAATCTGCGATTACAAAGTCTCTACTACAGTGAGCATTACAAAAGGGACAACGAGTGTTAGTTGACATCACAAAAGTGGCAACAAGAATTCGCGAGGATTCTTTGAGTTTTCACAAGGATTTGTTCAGCAGAGTACAGCAAAATGGAAGAACTAAAAGCTATCATGGTTCAAATGTTGGCACTACAAAAGAAACATCAAGAACAAATGTTACAGCAACATTTGCAGCAATAAAAACAACAAACTGAACAGCAATTGCAACTACAGCAACAGAAATTTTTTAATTGTTTATCAAAACCATGGAAGGAAAAAATTTCAGATTCATTCATTCCAGACGCTGTTGCTAATTCAATCAGCGAATTTGTGTACATCCAGACGAAGGGATAACTTTTCCAGCTTATAGAAGATATGAAGGGATCTTCAAAAGGGATTGTTCGCATTGGAATGATGAAAAGAAAGTTTGGTTATTATTAAGGAAACTGTATCCCGCTGAACATGAAGAATATGTGAATTATATTTTGCCTAAAAAAACCAGGAGAGATAAATTTTGATGAAACTGTTCTTATACTATCACAAAGTTTTGGTGATACTTCACTATTTAATACGCGATGGCAATGTCTTAACTTGGTAAAGTTAGACGATGAAGATTTTGTCATGAATTGGGAATGGGAAAAGTTCAAGTTAATTCATTTAACTCCAGGTTTATTTAAATGCCTGATATTTGTACAGGGTTTAACTTCTGATAATGACATGGAGTGAAGATCCAGGATACTTGCAAAATTTAAAATGGATTCTAAATTAACTCTCCTAAAAAATAGTGGAAGAATGTCAACGTATTGTGAATTTGAAACTCGATACTGCAAGGATTGAGGAAAAAGACAATTTACAAGTACATAGTGTCCGACCATCTAAGAGAATTCATACTACAGACAGGTCATCATCCATTATTGTCCATATATGGATCAAAAAAAGTGTTCCCACACATACAGTGAATAGACTGCAGTGCTTGGGAACTATCCTATTGAACTATAATTATAAAATGGAGTTTCTACCATCCAAAGAATTAAGTCATGCAGATAGATTGTTTAGACTGATACCAAAATTCTGCAAACTACTTGAAGACACAGTAATTGCGACAATAAGGGTTGAAAATAAAATTAAGAGTACTGCTCATAACCTTGGAGGAATAAGAATTAAGTTGGAAAAAGACTTTATAATGAAAATGAAGCAATTAAGATTTAAAGGAAAAAATATTACTGGGAATAATTCATTTTAAATTAAATTTTCATAAGCAACACTGTAATCAGTTAAAATAAAGATTCATTTATTTAGTAAGCCCACGAAAAGAGGTACCGATGGAAATATTGAATGACATGTTTGACGTAAACCCATGCCACCAGAAATTAGTGAACCAAGGAGGTACAATAAAAGAAAAAGAACAGCAACGGAACATTTGAATATTGAACTGAAGTTGAAGAAATATAGACTCCAGAGGAAGTCATCTCAAAGGGGAGGGTGTTATATAGGAATAAAGTGTCGCTGCTGACACTTGAATTTGAACATAAGATCGCTAGTATGCAAACACAGGTGATCCCATTATTGAATTAATATTACCATAGAGGAAACGCATAAGTATGTAGTAGTGTGACGTCTAATTGACCACCATTTCTATTTTGTCCTCTATTGCTATACGGACAGCTATTCTCTACTCTATTCACTATACTATTTCTCTATTCAGATCACTATACGGTGGTTACTATTCGAGCGAGTATTATCAAGCAAGTACTATTAGTACGAGTAATTCAAAGGCATCTAACACCAATATTGTTCAACGGTGTACTGTAGTTGTAATCTATGATTATAAATTCTCTACTACAACAAGCATCACAAAAGTGGCAATGAGTGTTTGTCAACCCTAGAGGAAGATTATCTATACCAGTTGGTAAACTGAATTCTTGTATGTTATGCAAATATTTGAGACTTATTTAAAAAAAAAAAAACAAAAAAAAAACTGTATCCTTGATGCTGGCAAATACAGTAATGGATTTTTGTGTTTGTCCTTTTCCAAGCCTTAATTCTTGTCAATTTATAAATGATTACTTCAGAAGCTGATTGATTTCCGTTTAGAGGAATTCTTTCTTGCTTCTGTTTTTGTTGTTCTTTTGAAGGGTGACACTTTGACAAAAGATTGTTCACTGCATAATAAAATTGATGTTCAAATGGTTGATAAATTGTCATGAAATTTTTTTTTACCACTGAGCCTCTCCTACCAGGTTAATTTACTGTTGGTTTTGGGTGGATTTGATAAAAATATTGATCTTGAAGAACAAGAAAAAGTTGCTTTTTGTTGCCTTTTTCAATAACATAGGATAATTTTGTTTTCCTCTCTAGATGTTACCACTAGAAACAAATATAAAAGATGCATATCAGAAAGGAACTGACGATGAACAAAATTTTATTCAAAACCTCAGTTTGTTTTTGTGCACTTTCCTGAAAGAACATGTTATTCTTATTGAACGCAAGTCTGATTACCATTCATTTTTAATGGAGGTAAGAACTTTTCACTATTACTTCTCTACCTTGCTGACTTTTTGCATATTTATTTACTTTTTTGCTGATTTTAAAAACAAAACATTTTTCCCTATTTAAAAAAAAAAAAAAAAAAAAAATATTGCTTTTGACCTTGTACACTCAGTTAGAATATCTTGAAACATTTTTAAAATGCAGTTTTGCTTGTAGTCCCGGTTAAGGTGGTGAGCTATATCCAACAGCAAGGCCTCTGATCAGGAGGTTTTGAAGAGTGTGGAACCACCTCTTAATTGCTGGTGTTCCCAGGTCAACCTTGAACCGTGGTGGTAGCACCTGTTAGAGTCCCAGCCATGGACAAATAGTTAATTCCCAAACTGGGATCAAAACCTATGAAAGTGTAAAAATAGGTTTTAATACCAATAATACATTTTGGGGGAAAAAACTACCAGCAATACATTTTTGAAGAAAAAAAATTATTACTAGCAGTACATTGTTGGGAAAAGAAAAATATTACCAGCAATAAACTGCTAGTAATAATTTTTTTTCTTCAAAATGTTGTTAGCATTAAATAACCCATTGAAGTTGATATGCCATAAAACAAACTAAACCAATTTTGCTTGTTCATGTTGAGCTAATTGTTAATTTAGTGTTGACTCTATTTTGAAATAAATAAATAAATATATATATATATATATTTTTATATTTTTTTTTTTTTTTTTTTTTTTTTTTTTTTTGTAGGCTCTTCATTATTTGATCCTTATTTCTGAAGTTGATGAAGTTGAAATATTCAAAGTGTGTTTAGAATATTGGAATTCCTTGGCAGCAGACCTCTATCGTGAAAGTCCGTTTTCAGCAAGTACAACATCTTTGATGCTAGCGCGACCTCATGGAGAAATGCCTATCAGAAGGCAATTATATAATCCTGTACTATCAAGGGTGAGTCTTTTAGTTTGGTTCATATTTCACAGTGCATGATGAATTATAACTTAATCTATCACTTGGAAGTTTAACAAAATCTTTGCATGAAGCCATTCTAGGATGTGGGTTTGAAGTTTTGATTTTTGTAAACATTTGTCATATTTTGGTGGGGCATAAAGAATTGATTTAACAATCTAAAAATACTTGAATTCATTTTTGTTAATTTTTAGAAAATAGGTGAATTTTAGCATAATACTGGTAACTTGGAATATAAAGCGGCCTTTAGAACTACCAAATTTTTGAGAAATTTGATTGAAAAGTTGATTTTTCATTTAAAAAGGTTGGTTTAATTATATAATGAAATATAATTGAACCAAACTTTTTAAAATGTAAATTTATGTACTGTACTAAATCTAAAGATGGTCATCACATTTAATAAAGCAAATCCTGAAATTTGAAAGAATAAACATGTATATTTGTCATTGTTAGCCTTAAATGAGTACCCATTACTATTCTGCCTATTTACTTATACATGACTTTATTAAAATTAAATTTCACAGACATAGTGGCAAACTCTGTAAACTCCATAAAGACAGCTTCAGGAACATTTCAGTGGGGGACAAATGACTACAGTACAACCCATAAAACCAGACAAACTATTTAAATTTAATAAAATGTAAATTATCAAGGCATTTTAAAATTTAATTTTAGGCTTTTTTTCTGTTAGTGAGAAGTTAAGAAATTGCTGAAATATCCAGACATTTAAACAATTATTTTTTCTGTTACTTTGATTTGCAGATACGAAGAGTAATGATATCTCGAATGGCCAAACCAGAAGAAGTACTTGTAGTTGAAAATGAACAAGGGGAAGTTGTACGAGAATTTATGAAGGACACGGATTCAATCAATCTTTATAAAAACATGAGAGAGACTCTAGGTAAGTGAGCAGAATTTTGCATCAATTAGAATTCACTTTTGTTTTTAACCTATAGATTTTATTATCATTCTCCATGTTTTCTTTGATATTCCATTTTAACAAAAATATGTTGTATCTTTTTTCATGAACCATTTAAAAAGTTTTGTGTAAACATGCAAGAATTTTCTTATTTTATTTTTTTTAATAACTTTAGAAAGGTTTCTTATTGACATAATTTAAAACTGGGTCTATTTGGATATAAACAATTACTGGTTGTAGGATTAGCCAGAAGTTTTGCCTCTGCTAGTTTTTAATGTTAAGTCCTTTAAGCAATCAACTTTTATTTGCATTTGAAACATCAGTATTGGAAATCTGTGTTGAATTTTTAAAATTAATGAGTTAATTTCTGAAATGAGGAATCTTTTTGTTATTCTAAACTGATTTAGTCAAACTTATATGTACCTGTTCTATATAGTAATATTCTTGTAATTTTGAACTATATACTTTAATCAATCCATGGGGGTAGGCTGTTCCACATTCTGTTGTCCATTCCCTTTATTGGTATATATCAGGGTTGTCATTTATGAGTGGCTCAAATGTGGAAGACTTTGAAGATTATTGAAACCAACTATATGTAGATGACACCTCAAGCTTCATCAGAAATATGTTTAAATGCTGTTGGACCATGTAAATTTAATAACTGGGAAAAGAAGTTGGCCTTCTTAGATGTGTTAACATACATGAACCTGGAGTTCACGATATACTTGTTATAAGCCAACATTCACCAGCTGATATCTGAATCTCAGTTGCTACTTTCCATAGAATGTAAAGAAAAATATCATCTTTTATCTACAACATCAAACCAAGCTCATAAGTGGTGACCCAGACAAGAGAGATAATCAGTATTAGGAATACCCTCTGGTGCAAATATTTTACAAAAGATAATTGTAGAGGTGAAGGACAATAGTCAGAAACCTGCTACATCAGGTGTCAGAAAGGATTCAGGGGATCTGCAGTGTTTACAACATCAGGGTAGTCTTCAAAAGCAATTTCACCTATTTGTTGATAACTGACTTCAGCCTAGTCTCCATCATATGAGAATATGACAGGGGAGAAAAAAAACTGTTATAACATTTAAGGCAGTTGTGACAAAATTGACCACACAATAAAAAAAGTTGGTAGAACATTAGAGAGCTGTAGTCAGGTATGACTGATTATGTGTAGAGAGAAAAAGAAGTTACTGACTACCCTATGAAACAAAATCAAAGTAAGATGACATTACAAGATTAAGAAATTAGTGCACATACTTTAGGCAATTACCTCATAGGTATAAGTGTTGGTTAAGTGTATGCAGTTCACTTGATCATGAGTTCAATCCTTGGTTCAGGCACTGAAATATATAGTTTCACTGTAACAAGCAGAAGCAAAATCACAGAAATTAATAATGAACTTGCATGGATTGTTGAAACTGCCATAATCCATCCCATGTATACTCTGCCTTAATGTGACATCATTATTGCAAATAACGTAGGGAGTCACGCAAGCAGTTACACTTTGAGAGCCAACATTTATTGGACGGGTTTGAGCATTTTGAATGCTAAATTCAGAAACCATTACTAGTATGGTAGGCATGTGAAGGCACAAGAGCCAAAATATTGTAGCTTAACTGAAATGAGAACCCCAGTTTGAATAAATAAATAATTAAATGAAACTAATAACAATTTAAAACAGGTTTTTTCAATTTATTATATCTAACAATAGCTATGCATTAGTAGCTTTGTATCCCTGCAAATAATCCTCAAGAAAGGTAATTCCCAGGAGTTAGAGTATGAACACCTTTGGTACATAAATCAAAAAAAGATGGGGTGCTGCATGTATTTGGCTGATGGATAACCATTTAATTCTCTTACTGTGCGGCTATCAGAAATGTTGTTTATCGGTTGATATTTTCTATTTTCTTCCAGTTTATTTGACTCACTTGGATTATGCTGATACAGAAAACATAATGACAGAAAAACTTCACAATCAAGTGAATGGTACTGAATGGTCTTGGAAAAATTTAAATACAGTAAGTTGTTTAGTGTCGAAAAAAAAATGCAGAAAGCCATGATTCAATAGTGCTGGTATGCAGCAGACATACTGTCTATTCAACCCATCAATGCCCATGGTCCTATTTTTTAAAATTAAAATTTTTTTTTTTTTTATTTAAGATGGCTTATAATTATTACCAGACTTATTTTATTTTAATTTTTATAATTAATACTGAATTTTACAGTGGGCATGAATAGGTTAAACTCATATTTTTAATGATTTAAAAAAAATAATAGCAGTGTCTTTACATTTTTCAATGTTCATTCAAATGCTGTTCCTTAATCTGATTGGTTATAAAATAGATTCTGCTTAAATATTTGGATGGATATGATCACATCTACAATGTTTCAATAAGATTTTTGGTGCACCTTGTATTACAAAACCATTATTATCTCAAACAAAAAAAAAATTTCTTATAATCCTAAAAAAAAATTTTGTGGCTTAAAATGGCCTACAAATCAATTAGGAAACTAATCAATCTGACAACAATCCTCATGGTTAGATACAGAAACTGCCACATGATGTGACAACATCATTGCAAATAACACCGGAAGTTGTGCAAACAGTGAGACTTTAAGAGCTGATATTTGGGGGTGGATGGCCGTTTTGAGCATGTCGAGTGCTTGTTTCAAAATTCAGAAACCATTACTAGTATGATAAGCATATATTGACACCTGGAGTGTACAATAACTAAAATATTGTGGCTATATGTGAAATGTTAGTAATTACATCACTTATAAAAGATATAATAAAAATTTTGTGTGGGATATAGGAGAAACCTAAAAATATTTTTCTTTACCAATCCTTGTGGAACTTGTTTTTTTATTTTTCTTAATCTTGTTTTGTCTTCATTTTGTTTTAGCTCTGTTGGGCCATAGGCTCAATTAGTGGTGCTATGTATGAAGATGATGAAAAGAGATTTTTGGTGACAGTTATCAAGGTAATTATTTACAAAACATGTGATAAATTTGTTTAGTCTTTATTGTTTCATGAAATTTTTTTTCTTAATGTGTTCACTAAATTGATCAAGTTGTATGAGCAAAAGATTGGACCCATGTATTATGGGAAGCATTTGGAATGTGCAGTCCTTTTTGCATATTTGGCTCTTTGTTAACTTATGTGAACCTGATTTATAAATTGCTTGAATTTCCTTTCAATTCTAAAAGTATATCGTTGAGCTGACTATTTAAATTGTATGATTTAATGATATTATGTGTTTTTGTACAAAAAAAATATAAATATATATATAAACGAAAGTATAAGCTTATTTGATTTATTTTTTTATTTTATTTTTTTTTTTTTTTTTAAAAATGTAAATTTCTTGCCTTACATGAATCTGAACAAGATTTTTGTTTGTTTTTCTTTAGAATCTACTTGGATTGTGTGAACAAAAGCGAGGTAAAGATAACAAAGCAATTATAGCTTCCAATATCATGTATGTTGTTGGACAGTACCCACGGTTTTTGAGAGCACATTGGAAATTTTTGAAAACTGTTGTCAACAAATTGTTTGAATTTATGCATGGTGAGTATTTTTTATTTATTTATTTATTTATTTATTTTTTTCTCAGTAAGGCTCATCCTGTACAAGGCCTGGAGGCCACTCGTGTTAGAGGGTTACATTAAGGACTAGTTTATATGGATATGATGGAAAGATAATGCTTAACTCTAGAGTTGAACAGGTTAAGATTGTTAGTGATCAGAGGAAACACCCTCTTGGGAGTCTGTTCCATGGGAAGAAGCTGTTTGAGTGGAAATTGGCATGGCAGGTCCTAGCCGTGAAGGTGAGACCTGGCAGAACCAAGGAATGTAGTTCGTCTGAGCACTTTCCATGGAAGTAGCAATAGAGCACTGTGAGCCTTGCCACCTCCAGTCTGTGAGAGAGGGGGTGGGAAATAATTCTTCTACAAGGACTCTGAGATGCTTTTGATGTCTATCAAGACTGGAAAGTGAGGACTGGGCAGATACCACACGAATAGGGCAACAATACTCCATTTTGGCCATTTCTGGCTCCAGTAAAGGTAGAGGAGAACATGAAGAATTGTGTTGAAATGAAAAATCAAAATGAAAACAACTAGAAAAATAATGACCTTCTCTATGCTAATTCTGAAGATTGTAAATAATCCCTCTTTAATAATACAAATCAGGTTTTTAGGCACTTGACATTTTAAGTTGACTGAATAGACTTTTAAGAAGACTTAAAAAAATATATTCTCTGTATTAGAAGTATTAGAAAAATGTTTTTGTTTAGGTGTTGCTAGTGAATTGTATGTATTTTCTTTACACCCTCCCCCACGTTTTTTTTTTTTTTTTTTTTTCAGATTTTTGACTAACTGATTCTATTCATTTTTGTCTCCTTTTTTTTTTTTTTTTTTTTTTCTTTCTTCTTAAGAAACTCATGATGGAGTTCAGGACATGGCATGTGATACTTTTATAAAAATTGCACAAAAATGTCGTCGACATTTTGTCCAAGTGCAAGTTGGGGAAGTAATGCCCTTTATTGAAGAGATTTTGACCAGTATTAACACCATTATTTGTGATCTCCAACCTCAGCAGGTAACTAATAAGAAATATTTTCATATAATAATTATTTGGTTCTAGGATTTCATACTTTAAAATTTTTTAAACACACACACTTTTTTTTTTTTTCTCTAATGAATTTCTCTTTCTTGAAGCTGATTTGTTTGAAAGAAATAACACAAATTTTACTTAACATAATTTCTTCCAATATAATTAAATGAATGTAAGTTTTAATTTTTGTTTATATCCCTAAATTTTATTTCTTTGATTCTAGGTTCACACCTTCTATGAAGCTGTGGGTTTGATGATAAGTGCTCAGACAGATCAAGTTCCCCAGGATCATCTTATTGAAAGATATATGATGTTACCTAATCAAGTGTGGGATGGCATTATAAATCAAGCAACGCTGGTTAATCTCTTTCTTTATTCTATTTTCTTTCTTTTACCTAATTTAAAACCAATTCTATTTAAATAGGAGTTGACATGCCGTTAAATCCAACATCCATCCATCCAATTCTATTTGAAGCGACTTTGTTGTTATTAAGCAGCATAGCGAAGGGAAAAATGGTGGATTAATATATTTACTGTCTCAAAATGTTAAAAGTAGTTTGCTGCTACAGTTTAAAAAAAAGAAAAAAAAAAAGTTGATGTTTTTTGCATTAACTTAAATGATTTTCTACATGTATATATCTACCTTTTGAGGCTTTGTGCTTCAATTAAGTGATACTTAGTAAATCACTTTGAATTACTCCAATTCATTCTATATGAATTCTGTAGACCTTTTCTATGCATGAATTTGACATCAATCAATCTCTTTTCTTAGCATATTAGTCAATATTTTCAGTATTAGATATTTTTGTTCTGCTGACAGTATATTTTCATTAGGTATAGATTTACTTTTTTTCTCAATTTTTTTTTTTTTTTTTTTTTTTTTAATTTATTTTCCAAAAGCAATGTATGAAATTCAAACATTTAACTTAATTGTTCATCCGACTGACTCTTTTCTGAACTGCTGCTCTTTTTTCTTTGTTTGTGTTGTTTTTGTTCCATCATTTGATGTCACCTGAGACACTCCTTTTCATCTCCTGCTGCAGGTCTCTTGGCACCTTGCCCAGCCACATTCAGCCAGTGCCCAAAGGCTCTGGCAGAATCCCTTTCTGCTGGTGCTGGTGAAAAGATGTCAACCATATTTTATATGGTAACTGCATTTAATGCTTTTTGAAATTCTCTGGGAGGAGGAAGAGGAAGATGTGGACAAAAATTGCATTTGAAAACCTGTATTTTTTTTTTATTTTTTTTTAATCCTCTCAAACTCCTGTGTTCATTTAGTGAGGGAGGTTGGTGGGGGGGTTGCTTTAAAATGATCATTCTTGTCTGTATATCACATTAAAAATGTTAATCTTAAATTACCTTAATTTTGAAAGAAAGTTCTTTACTACAAACTTAAGGACAAAAGGTTATTTTCCAAAAGTTATTTAGTCGTCTTATAAAAATAGGGAGTTCTATGGAAGCAAAAACCAAATGAAAGTGACCATTTGTAGTTTTAATGTTATTTTCCCATTTTTGTTGCTTATTTTGTTACTCAAGATCTCCACTCACCCAACAGAAACCAGTTACTTTGCTTAAAAGCAGTTCTTACATGTGGTTTTGTGTTAATTAGTGGGACTGTTTACTATGTTAATATGAAACTAGAAAGAAATTAGTCTTTAACTCGTTTGTATAGCATGCAGTGTTTATGATTGCACTGCAAATATAATTTGGTACTGACCTTTTTGTGCATTTATGTTAAATAGAAGAACTACAGTTTTTGAAGAAAAAAAACTTTTCAAAACTCTTCATTAGATGTTTTATCAAATGAGCCACCTTGATATATGAGACTTGCTTTAAACGTTGATAGCTTTCTTTTCTTTTCTGCAGAACGTTGAAGTATTAAAAGATCCTGATGCTGTCAAACAACTTGGTAACATTCTCAAAACAAATGTGCGTGCATGTAAAGCATTAGGTCATCCCTATGTGCTGCAGGTTTGTTATAAATTTTATTTGTTTCTTATTATTTTAGAAATATACCGTCCATGTCGCTCTCTCTATCTATCTATATATATATATATATATATATATATACCCAAGTATATAATTGGTATATACGGAATGAATTCCAATAACCAACAATTACTATTCTTAAAAGAGTGCTCAATGTGTGAATGATATGGGTTATGCAAATGGATTGTTTAAATGGGTCAGTCTATTGTTTATGCCCCACATAAAGCTTGGGTTGCACTAAATGGTGAGGAACAAATGATTTTTTTCAAGTTATTGTGAATTGTTAGTTATAAATTAACTAGCACTATTCTAAAACCAGCTTTGATATAGAGTATTTTGTGATGTATTTTTATTACATTCTGTGTTGGGGTGTTATTCAACTTTGTCTGATTGAAGCCAAAATGGCAGTCCCCATGACAAATTGCCTTCAGTTTATTTCCAGTAAATGCCAGTTTACCTAGATATCCCAAGATAGGCCAGCACAGTCAGGCAACAATGCAGCAGTGTTAAAATCTTTCTATTAAGAAATATTTAGAAATTGTGTATGTAATAATTTGTGTACACAAATATTTGTCAATCAATTAAAATATTAGAAAATTCTGTTCTTACAACAATATCATACAAGACATTTTTGTACATATTTGGAAGAAATTGTTTTTATCCTCTAAGATTGTGAACAATGATAGTTTTTTTTTCTTTTTCTTTTTTTTTTTTATTTTAATGAGCCAATTTGTTTCTTGTTATCAATTAGATATGACTTTTGTTTTACCTCCTCTTCTCTTACAGCTTGGTCGTATCTATTTAGATATGCTGAATGTTTACAAAGTAATGAGTGAGAACATTAGCAGTGCTATTGCTACAAATGGTGAGAGTGTCACAAAACAACCTCTTATACGGAGCATGCGTACTGTAAAGAAAGAAACCCTCAAACTTATATCAGGTTGGGTTAGTCAGTCAACAGATCCACAAATGGTAAGCTTTTTGTCTCTCATGTTGTTCATACAAATCTACAGGTTGGGAAAACAGGTCTTTTAGTAAAATTTTTCTCTAAGCCATATAATCGGAAACCAAATGCAGAACAAAGTGTATTATATCAGTTATTAATACATACTTATTTTTCAGAAATAGATAAAACAAATGAGGTCAGACTTGTTTTGTGCACAAATTGATCCTAAAACATCATTGTTCCGCTTTTGTATGCTGTCTAGAAAATCAGAAAAACCCCAGTTGTAGGTAACAGCATCTATACTTAGGGCAGTGGTAGAGGGTCTGCAATAAGTGGAATTGGGTCATCATTAACATACTGAAGGCCCAAATTCTGAAGGACTCAACAATATTTGTTCATAAAATAATTGCTGAAAATAACCATGCATGAAAACCATGGACCATAAATCATGTACCAGGAGGTCAAGTCACCTCCATACAGAGTTCATGAAGGCTTGTGGCTTATGTGAGGCAATTCTCAAGTACCAAAAAAAAAAAAAATCCTGATTTCACTGTTCAAAAATTCTCTGATCAGAAAATGTGGACTTTGTTTTAAACTATCAAAATGGATGATACTTTACATGATCAAGAAAATATCTAGTCAGGCCACTTGGGTGTTGTGGCATATGGTGGTGGTGGGTATTTGGATAGGTGGTTGCTGATGCTTGCTACAAGATCCTGAGGTACCATGATTTGTCATGGCTCAAGGCCAACTACCCAGGGAATAATTGTGTTCTCATCCTCATGGCCAACAAGATGCAGAAAGTTTCCAAAACTAACATTGTTGATTTCTGGTCAGTAGAAATCTGATACTCTTCCACCCTGAACTTGTGGAGTGTTTTAGAGCAGACTACTACCAATACCCTCAATGCTATTAAGAAGTGGACCAAAATGCCTAAGGGGTTTGTGATTAAGAATTAGACAGATTTTCCAGATAATGTTGAGGCTGTAATTGAAAATTATTGAAGCTACATTAAATAAATTTAATTTTTATATTTTTGTGTTTTTTTTTTTTTTTTTTTTTTTTTTTTAAAGCTTGTTTATGTCTAATGATAGTGAATGATTTTCAAAGGTGACCGCAATTCTGAAAGTTTTGCTTCCCTATTGTATATAAGCATCTCTTTAGTTCTGTTGGACATTTTGTTGAATTTTAAAAAATATCTAGAAAAGGAAGAATTGGCAATGAATTTTATTTTTTTTAAATTGCAGGTAGCTGGGAACTTTATTCCTCCACTTCTTGATGCTGTGTTGCTAGATTACCAAAGGAACGTACCTGCTGCTCGGGAGCCAGAAGTTTTAAGTACAATGGCAACCATAGTCAATACTTTGGAGGTAACATTACATAGAAGTTTTCAAATTCTCTGATAGCCTTTTTCTTGCTTTTCCTCTTTCTTTTTTTTTTTTTTTTTTTTTTTTTTTTTTTCTTGCAAAAATCAAGCCTTTCAGGACTTATTCACAAATGAAATTACTTTTCAAGTTTCTTTTTTTTTTTTTTTTTTTTTTTTTTTCTTGTTTTTTGTGTTTTTTATATGTTTCCACCACCCACTTAATTTCATGAAATTAAATTTCAATCTCAATTTTTCTTGGAGAATGTAAACCATAATTTTTTTTTTTCCCCCCAAAAAAAATTCTGCTCCAAATTGTAAAATAAGAAATGCAATAAAACTATGAAATTATTTTATTAGAAAAGCTCTTAATTGTTTTTCTAAATAAGATTATTTAAGGGCACTATTGTCTTCAGAAAAAATTTTTTTGATGAATAATGAATTTTTGTGAGAATTGTTTTCATTTTCCTTTTTTATTTTAATTATAACATATAAATCATTTAAAATTGTGCATTAATTTAATCCGGTTAGGTGATATTGTTATTAAGTGTCAACTATATTTAATAATCAAAAATGGAAAAGATTAATACAAAGTATTTTGCAAGATTTTTAGAATAATTTAAAAAAAATTTATGTATATAAAATATTACATAATGTACCTGTTTGAAAGTATGGTCAACCATACACAGCATTATCAGAAAATATGGGGAATATTTTCCAACATTTTTAAGATTGCTGAATACTTATATATATATATATATATATATATATATATATATATATATAAAAATTACTCACTCATCATTTTCTTAACAGATTGTGATATCAGAGACAAGAAATTTAAATTTTTATTGCATTATTCCAAAATTTCAACACATCAGCAGATAGCTATTAATGTCAACAACTTAGCACAAATAGTTATTAATAAAAAAAAAAAAAACTTAGTAATTAATGTACATTATCCATAACTACATGTACAAGAAAGTCATTTTTGATAAAAGTTGAATTAAAAATAATTTCTATCTCTTTCCTCCACTCCTCCTTTCTGGAATTTTGTTTCTCTCTTCCAAATCTTGGAACTATCTGTTTGTTTTCAATAACTATTTTTTAAATTTTTTTTCAGAACCACATTACTGAAGAAATTCCACAAATTTTTGATGCTGTCTTTGAGTGCACTCTTGATATGATTAACAAGGTAAGACAAAAGTGCATCCTTTTTTGGCCAAGGACACAAAATTGAAGTCATTGAAATTCTGTTGGAAGTAACTTGGTTCTTAAAATTGTTCTTAACAATTTTTTTTTTTTTTTTGTAGGACTTTGAGGAATTTCCTGAACACAGAACCAACTTTTTCTTGTTATTACAGGCTGTCAACTTTCATTGCTTCCAGGGTAAGTGGAGATTACATTGAGAAAAGAGAAATATTCAAAATAATCTCTTTCTATTTTTCTCTAATTCTCTAGAACAGCGTATTCCAAGATTTTTTTTTTTTGTTTTTTTTTTACTGCAACCCACAGCAAGAACCACATTTTGCATTGTGACCCATTATACCTGTGTGCAATAAATCAGGCAGACTCAGTTCACTAAGTTCATTTATTTAGTATGTATATTTCTTAAGATCTGCACATATTGGAATTGCATGTATCTATTTGTATTATCAATTTGTATGAATATAAAATGATTACTTTTAGAAAAACAAATTTAAAGGAAATTCCGGCACAAAGTAAATAATCTGCAAGGAGTTTGATGAACAAGATACATATTCTTAATGAGAACATACATACATACATACACACACACACACACACACATATCTAATATATATATATATATATATATATATATATATATATATATATATATATATATATATATATAAAAAAAAATATATAGGTTTAGCTTGATGAAAAACTAGTGACGATTTATGAGTGCTGTGCAACATTTAGTTTTTTATAATTATACATTTTGCTCTGTCTTGCATATTTTTTTTTTTTTTTTTTTGTCACAACCCATTTTTTTTTATCTTGGGACCCACAGTTTGAAAAACCCTGCTCTAGAAACATGAATTTGAAAGTTTCAGTAGCAATGAAATTGTGTAGATAATGTGTAGAATTGTTCCTTGAAAATGACTGAAAAATTTCTAAAAAACAATGGTGTGCGTATATATATATATATATATATATACACACACACACAAGCTGTTTATGACCTGTTGACTGTATTCTAAACTAATGATAAAGAAAAAAAGGCAATGACTTTGAGGAACTGAGTTTAAGTGATCTGCTAATTTTTTTTTTTTTTTTTTTTTTTTTTTTTTTTTTTTTTGTTGGATATTCCTCCTGCTCAATTCAAGTTGGTTTTGGATTCTATTATTTGGGCTTTCAAGCACACAATGAGAAATGTTGCTGATATTGGCCTGGATATACTTTATGCTTTGTTGCAGAATGTAGCCCAGCATGAAAATGCTGCTCAAAGTTTTTACCAAACCTACTTCACTGACATCTTGCAGCATATATTTTCTGTTGTTACTGATAGTTCACATACTGCTGGTAAGTGAAACCTTTTCATTTTGTGACTGTTTGGTAATACCCATTGGTGTAAACTTGGATTTGCAGGTGGTGTAATGGATAATGGCTCTGAATTGGAAATTGGAGACAAGTTGCAATTCCAATAGGGTTCATTATATTTGCTCATGCACAAATACCCTTGGGAAAGGTATAAATCCACCTCTTCTCCTCCTACCCAGACATGTCAGTAAATTGTTATCTCTAAACAATATAAAAATGTTTTTTGGCTTTAAATAACCTGCAAAATGTTGATAAACTGGGAAAAAAATCTTTTCAATTTTCAAACTTGCAATAGGGATAATTGAGAAAATCCAATTTTTAAGTATTTTTTTTTTTTTCTTCAAATATTAATATACCTACCGGTTTTATAAAACATTTCTATTTGATTTTTCTCTTATCTTCACTAACCAGGTAAAGCTTGCTTGAATAAAAAATGTACTAAAAAAGAAAGTTTAATCCTGCTTGAAGGTTTGGTTTGACATGTGATATTTAAGTTTTATTGATACTAGTGTAGAGTAATTAGAAACATTTGATAATAACTGAGTTTTCAGATTTAGATCTCTCTCTCTCTCTCTCTCTCTGAAGAAGTTTTTTTTTTTTTTCTTTTTCATGTTTGAAATTATCCTTAATATTTTTCTCTTTTTTTTCTTTCACTTTCAGGACTGACAATGCATGCTACTATTCTTGCTTACATGTTCAGTTTGCTTGAAGCAAATAAAGTCACAGTTTCTTTGGGGCCCAATATTAACAACACACAAAACATCACATACATTCAGCAATTTTTGCTAAATCTTTTAAAGGCAGCCTTCCCACATTTGAATGAGTAAGTGTGATTATCTTTTTAATTTGAATTGTGGGGACAAGTTTTATTAAATTTAATCAAATTGATCAGTTGATTGTATAAAGAAATTGAAAGCAATATGCATAACTTTGTGGTTTTCCTGCTTATATTTTATTCTCTCTACAAGTTTGTTGATTGGCTTAAGTTATTTGTTGGGGTGCTGATTAACTTCAGATAATCTGACCAAATTATCAAACATTTCCTTCATGGTTAGGCTAACAACTTTTTAGCACCTTGTAATTTTGTGAAATGGCATTTTATAATTAAGCAATCTTTATATTAATTAAAAAGTGTTTTTGTTTATATTAATTTAAGAAAGTGCTTTTGTTTTAAAAAAACAGCATTTCTTATGTTTAAAGAGTTAAAACAAAACAATTGTCATCGTCTTCATCAATTTGTTTTTATTTGACTTGTAAGTGCCATTGCAAATTTGTTTTCAGGCTGCAGATCAAAATCTTCATTGATGGTTTGTTCAGTTTCAATCAAGACATCCCAGCATTTAAGGAGCATTTGCGAGATTTCTTGGTGCAGATTCGGGTGAGATATTGCAAAATAAATTTTTTTCAGTTTTATATTTTTGAACCAATTTCAATTTGAGAACTTGTTTTTGTGCAATTAGCCATCAGATTTGTTTGAACATTTCAAGATTTTAAAATTTGACAGGATAACTTATATTGGACTCAAGATTCCATACCCCGAAATATCAAATTGGGGAAAAAAAAATGTTGCATTCTCTTGTAAATAAAACCTTATTATTAAACAGCACTCAAAAAGTGTGTGTGAGAGATAGATTTTTTTTTTTTTTTCAATTATGATTGCAAGCATGGATAATATTTAATAAGGTTTATTATACTGTCAGAATTTAGAAAAAAAAATCTTAAATCTTGTTTTTTTTTTTTCTTTCCATCTGAATTTTTGAGAAGAACTATCAATATTATGTATTGATTTACTTGGACTAGTTTCCCCATCTTGTTATAGTCACAACGTTTCAGCCATTATATCTCCTGGGTGATTTCAGGAGTCTGCCTTAGTTGGTGGTAGCCTTTTGAGAATTTTTGAGTGAAACCCTTTATTTAATCCATGGGGCTAGATTTTACTCTTTCTGTTGTCCATGCTAGAGGATATCTTGCATGTTAATTCCTCAATCCCCCTTAATGATCAGTAGCATAAACACCATTTTGAGTAACAAATATTTTGTAAGCATAGCATAAGCTGTTAGATAATGGTCAAGGAGAATAGCTAAGAAACTTTTATATATAACATGGCATGTTGAGTAAGTAGATCTGTGGTCCATGCAATATCAGGACAATATTCAGCATAAATCCTTACTCACTCAGAAGAACATGACCAAGATTTATATGTAGACCAAATGAGGCCTGTCACCCTGCAAAAGTAAGGATGGGTTAATATTGGAAAGCTGTAATCATGGTGAGGGAGGAATCGGCAACACTGTAGAATGAAGTCATGACATTGGAAAATAAGTTGATGGAAAGAATCTGCTAACATGTAGTTAGATTAGCATAGAAATGAATACCATATAGAAGCTTTTGATTAAGACAAAAAGAAAAGAAAAAATCACCTAACAGGTACAGAGTGTGATGGATAAAGTTGTTGTCTAAATTATGCAAAAATGAAAATAACACTGATATCTCATTTTAACAGATATATTTACCAAAATTACACAAAAATGACTTGAGTAAATTTATTCAATAAAATCGCCATTGGTTTCAACCGTGGCCTCTAGACAACTTTGGAATCTCCTGCATCTCTTCTAGACAGTGTCCTTGTTTAAGTTGGTGAATGCTGCCATAATCCTTGTGTTCAGTTGGTCTTTGGTGTTACAAGGAGTTTTATTGGTCTCTCACTCAACTGCACCCCACACATAATAATCAAGGGCGGGTTGCAGTCTGGGGAGTTAGGTGACCAGATGTAAGGTGTGATGTGGTTGCAGAAATTGTCTTACAGCCATGACTGGGTTCTCCTACTTGCGTGGCATGGTTTGAAGTCTTGTTGCCAGTATAGTGCTGCCCTGGGTCAAGAGGATGGCTGCTGAAAGACCCTATCTCTTCAAGGTACTTGATGTAGGCTTCTGTGAGTCTTCAGCCCTGTGAGAAGATGAATGGAGACATAACATTGCCATCACTATTGATTATTTCAAACACACTCATAATCATCATTAGATTCTTCCAACTCTTTCTGAATCCCCTACACTGTTCTGATATTGACACCCAAACACTCTCCAATATTCATATTGGAGCTTCGGGTGTGAATACCAAGCAGTACACATGCTGTTTCCAAATTTTTGGTGGAGTGAATTGCGTCATGTTGCTTTTTTTTCTATAGATTTCTCATACTAGCCCTACTATATTGTGCAGTCGACAAAAACAATGTGCATACATGAAATAAAAAAAATATAAAATAAAATGGCGACTATTTACCCATCGCACCCTGTACTGTTGAGTTATATATTCTGCTTAGTTGAAGATGCAGACAAGCATCATTAGATTTTAGGCTCTAAGTTTCTGGCACGGAAACATCCTTCTGATTAGGTGGATAAAGTTACACAAAAGCATTTGATGAGGTACAACACAAGGATCTATTTGAATTACTTGGAAAAATAGATCTATTTGGAAAGAATGTTAGAATAATCCCGAATTTAAATGGAGCAAACCATATGTCTATGGATAGAAAATGAATTTAGTAGTTACACAAAAATAGAAAGGGACATAAAACAAAGATGTCTTCTCCACAGATTTATTCGACCTTTATAGTGGGAACATCTTAAGGGAGATGGAGACCCTACCAGGATTTATTATCAGTTGCTGTAATATTAACAATATGATACAGTGTTGATAGCTGATATAGAAAGAAAAGTACAGGACTTCTAGACAGGGTAGTAAAAGAAAGCGAGAAAAAAGGACTAACCATTAACTGCAAGAAGACAGAAAGTATGGTCATCAGCAAGAGAAAAAAATCCAAGATGCGAGTTATGAATTGGAGATGTGAACATCAAGGAAATATAGAAGTTTAAATATCTGGGAACAAAGGATAGAAAATGTGACACCAAAATCCAAACATGCATTGGACTAGAGAATGAGGCATTTCAAAATCTAAGCGAAATGCTGAAAAACAAAAATGTCATTAGAAACAAAGAAAAGAGTGGCTGGATTGGTATGTGATACCCATCCTCTTATATGACAATCTTGCTATGGATGATGAGAAAACTGGTGGCAGCAGAAATGTGGTTCTACGGAATCATACTGAGAATTATATGTATGGTGCCTTTAAGCAACGAGAAAGTCTTAAATGGCGACAAAACTAACACTCAGAATCAAAAGACAGCTAAAATTCCTTGAACACATAATGAGGAAAGAGGGATTGGAAAACTTAACCTTCAGGTGGCAAGAGAGATAGAAAGTAGCAAGCCACCTACCTGATGAGCTTGTGTTAATAGATGGTGGAAAGTGGGAAGGAGTCTTAGCAAAAGTAGAAAAACTGCTAAGAGCCATGATCACCCATGCTCTGAAGGGATGCAACATGTAGTAGTAATCACCTGTCAGCCCAATCTCTGTGTCTGCTCTAGTTCATAGGGTTTGTATAGGTCCTGGAAAATTGGCAGGGATTTTTTCCAGACCTTGAAAAATCCTGGATAAACAGCAATAGCCCAAAAACACCTTGAAAAGCCCTGGGATTTTTTAAGTTGGGCTGCTCACACATCCCTTTTCTGGCTTTTTACAAGCTAAAATGTTTTTTAGTCATCAGTATTATTTGGCAATTATTGCAAACAGTACTTTGTTTCCTTGATTAGAATGAGTTCATGACCTCATAGTTACTTCTGTATTTTCTCGTCTAGGTGACAATACAGAAAGGGAAAAAGAATATCAAGGCTTGTCTTCTAGCTGCTACTCTCACCCAAGTGGAAAAGCAAAGATAAAAAAAAGGCATCAGAGACAAGTAAACATCTCCATCGAAGATAAACTAATTCACACATTAAACTTGTAATTGAAAGTAAAATAATAAATTAGATATGTTTTCCAAACTGAATGAATTTGTAAAAATTTTGTCAAACCCAAACATGAATAAAGATGTTGCAAAGATTTCTGGCAGATATGGCTATGCAAAATTTATCCAAAAAAGGAAATGTGTCGACAAAAGATCTGTTTGTATGCAGAATTACAACACAATGACAATGTTCATCACCATCATTGAGAAACTTCTGGCAAAGACTCCCTTTAGATGTCCTTTTGTAAGGTAACACTGGATCCATTTGTGAAAAAGATGTCTTTCCTATGTGATGGACAGAAAACAAGTCAGCAAGTCTGATTGTGATTACATCAGTTGGTACAAAGAGTTTGAGGAGGAAGCAACTTTCAAGAATTTTAGCAAACATGAAGACTGGACACTTTGTTCTACTCTTCTTTGTCTAGCAACAAAGAATATCAAAACTGGAAAGTTGTTTGCAGATTACTGATACTCTCATAGACAGGCCTCAGAAGAAGCAACTGAACAAAAATGGAAATCCATACTTATGGCAATTGAAGAACTGAAGACCAAAAAAAACCCTCTTGAAAGTTGCACAGAAGATTTGCCCAAGTCAGCTGACATCTATGCGGAGAGCTGAGAAGTCACAGAACTTCACAATTATTGCAAAGTTCAATGCCATGTGAAGATCTGCAAAGGACAAGTCCATAGAGATATCAAAATTGGAAAAGGAGCTGAATGCTACACTAGATGAACAAAAAAAATGGGAACTTTGTGTTCTGTGCCACGTGCAATGAAAGCCATGGTTAGCTTTCTATTTGTAGTTCTGTTCATTAAAATCATTATACTTAACTTCACAGGAAATGTGAAGCAATCAAGAATTTTTGTGACATTTACAAACCGTGAGTAGACTAGATAACTGAAATGTGTAGCAGTAAGAATTAAAGTGTGTAATTCAAAATTTTCAAGTGTAGCAAAACTCCAAACTAGAATGCTACACAAAACATATATAACCAGTAACCAGGTGTACATTCAGTTGTGTTTTAATCTTCAACACTTTGATTTCTTCATGGCTTTCAACTGATCCATGTGACATGAATTATTGGAACCAGATGTAGCTTTTCTTTAAACATCTCATCTGTCAAACTATAAAAAAGATAAATCACAAAGTTTGTGCTTTTGAAATTGATGACCATTCACTTTGTGCGTGTGTGCATGCACCAGTTTCAGTCCTTGAAACTTAACCTTTAACACACTTCTTCTTTCCATTGCATTGTTTTTTAAGGCTCTACTGTACTTCTTAATTTCAGTCACGGTCATTTTTTTTATAATCATAACAGGATATAACAGCACAACTGCAAAATTCAAACGTGGTATCATTGATTCATCAGAGTCACTTGCAGTTTATATAATTTTTACTTTGCAAACAAAATTACTTCTAGGATGTTAAAGGTTAGCTTAGTCCTGGAATTTCTTTAATATGGATCTGTGGTAACCCTTAGTTCAACACCAGAATGAATTAACTTCTGGCATGAACAGCAAAATGAGAACAATCAATCTTCATGAATTGAATAAGGGATTTGGCTTGAAATTCCCATGTTACCAACAACAGACCTGAAGAAGGTTACAATAGCTGAAATATTGTCACTATAGTAACCAAAATGAGGATACTAATCCAGGTAAACTAGTGTATAGGCATATTTGATATTGAGAATAAATTTACGACAATCTAGAGTGTCATGAATGTTTTTTTTTTTTTTTTTTTTTTTTTGTGTTAATTACTTTAGTTGTGTCAGTGTTTTTTGCATACATTTTAATTTTGAACACTTTTTATTTACTTTATTTTTTTATCAGGAATTTGCTGGTGAAGATAACAGCGACTTGTTTTTGGAAGAACGAGAAACTTCTATTCGACAAGCCCAGGAGGAGAAACGTAAGATCCAGATGGCAGTCCCTGGTATCATTGGTCCCCATGAGATCCCTGAAGATATGCAAGATTGAATTGTTGTTATGCAAGAACATTTGGTCTGTGCTCTTGTGATAGTTTGTCTGGATTCTTTCAGACAGAGCTTCTTACTGGTATTTGAACACCTCCCGCCCCCTACCCTCTCTTCTATCCCATCACCCCCTCTTCTAACCCCAACACTCTTCCAAGATTTTTTTCCAGTTCTCTCTCTTCTTCCTCTTCCCAAGTACTCCATTTTGTTTCTCTCTCCCTCTCTCTCTTCTCTCCCCCCCAGGTACTCTATTCCCTTCCTCTCACACACCTTAAGTATCCCTGCCTCCATTTCACTGCCACAGACAAAACTTATATTAGGATATGTTAGTTGTTTTCACACACACACACACACACACACACACACACACACACACACTCACTTTAGCTGATGAGAATAAGAGTTAATTTTAAATATTTTGCAAATATGTACAGAATTTTTATTTCACTTTAAAATCTGTTGAAAAAAAAAATTCTTGTAAAATTGTATTATATAAATACGAAGCAGTGTATGGTTATATTTGATTAAAATACTGCATTGCTTCCTTCAATCTATTTCACAAATATAAATCAGACAATCTTTTTTTTTTCCCCCCTCTCTAAGAAAGCACTTGAGAAATATGAAACAAGATCCTACACGAGGTTGAGTGCTTCATGGGGTTAAACACTAATGTAGATAAAACATTTTTTATTTATTTTTTTTTTAATATAAGTATTGTGTAACTTTCTAATCTTGATTCTCAATAACTGCAATTCGTTTTGCTTGTTGCCTTGTCCACCATTTCTTCTATGTTTTTGGCACAGTGTTCACTTTGCTTTTTTTTTTCTATAGTAAATAATTTCTACTGCCTTTTCTAACTTCCACTCTTAAGTTTTATGGCAGAGGAAATTGAAACTAAGAAGTGAGCCATAATTTTCAAACAATAATACATGATTTCTATTCTTGACTAAGAAACTCTTGGATCTGTGACTTTTTTTTTATTATTAGCTTTCAGAGTATTTTAGATACTGTCTAGTTTTCTTCACTTGGCTCCTCCCCAACCTCTAATCCCAGCTAACCCTGACTTCTTAAATCTCTCTCCCCTTTTATGTTTGCTGTTATTGTTGTTTTGTTCCTCACCTCCCCCTGCCAGCAGTCCTTCCTTGATGTCTGTCAATGAAGTAAAGCAAACAAAAGTGGCAGACGAGAAATATCAGTGAGAAAGCTGAGCATTTAGCTAAATTATATTCATTATTATTACTACTATTATTATGTCTCTCCATATTTTCTTGACTTTCATCACGGTCCATTTCATTTTTGAGCTTCTGCCTCTCCCCCACTCCACTTCCTCCCTCCAAATCTCTTCATCATGAACACCATCATATATCACCATTTTAAGAAGCAGTTTTTGTAAGAAAATGATGACAATTTTAAGCAAATTTCTTTTTTTTTTTTTTTTTTTTTTTTTTTTCTAATAAAAAGCAAAAAAATGTCTATAAAAAGAAGTGTGAGAGAGAAAAATCAATTTCTTTTTTGAAACAAGGGAAAGAAATAAATAAACAAAAATATATATCCTTTTTTTTTAATCATTGTTTTTAATTTTTTTTTTTTTTTATCTGATATTACCACCTCAAGGAATTTACCTTCCCATTGTAAAGATTGTTAGCCTCTGTTAGAAATACAAAAAAAAATCCTCTTCATTTAACAAAGACCAACTAATAATACAGACCAAGATTCATTTAACTCGCCCTAATAGATTAAACCTTCCATCATAATGAAGGAAAAAAACAAACATGACTGAATGGATATGTGTGACTGGAGTTTTCTTTAATAGAAGCAAGGCTTGTTTGATTTCGCTGGGTTCATGCTTTTTCCCAACTCAGTGCATTGGAGGCCATTATTGTTGCGTAGTTTATTAATTGATCATTTTTCAATAAGATTTTTGCTGTTCGACTCCATTTAATTACATCATCAGCATCTCTTAATACTTTTGACTATTTTGCTCTCCTTTTCATCTTTCATTGATAGATTGTTTTCAGAAAAGGACTAGGTGATGATAGCTGGAGGACACTCATATAAACTTGTTTTTTTTTTTTTTTTTTTTTTTCATTTTACTTTTTTTTGCTGATTTCAACATTTTTAATTGCTTTCTACATTTATAAAACATTTCTGTAAAGTAGGAGCTGTTTTTGTTTTTCTGTAAGCTTCTATAACTACAATTGTGGACATGAAAGGAAAAAATACCTTGCAGCAATGTTTTTATTTCTTTCAATTCACTCTGACCAAATTTAAGAATGTTTCACCTTCATTAGAAGATATTTGGGAGGGAGGATTCCTTTATTAATTTCTATCTAAACATTAAGCTTAAAAGTTTTTTCTCTCTCCTTTCAAACTTGGAAGTTTTGTCTATTTTTAATAGATGTATATCTGCAAACCAACTTAGGAAAAGAGGCCTTATTGTTCTGTTTCAGCTGGTGCCCCTATAAAATTAGCAAAAACCTTTTTTTTTTTAAATTGCTTTGAAAATTGAAACTTCTGCTGCTGCAACAAATATTTTTTCTTTTTATGTTATACCCCCATTTACATTAATGCAAGGACCAACCTGCCGTGTGTGTGTGTGTGTGTGTGTGATGACTGGTATTTGAGATACTGTCCTATTTCACAGCTATGTTGGAGAAGAAGAATGTCTGGTGAAAGTTTCTAACTTTATAATGGTTGATACTAATGTTTGGTTGTTGAAATTTGCTGTGATAACATTACTACCTTTCATGAAGCAGCTTAAAAGTTTTCATTCATCCTCCCATTCTGTAGAAGATTTTCATATCACACCTTTTTTAAAAAGAAACATTTGAAGATAACTGAAAATAAAGTGTCACTCTTAAATTTTATTAAATAACCCCAAAAAACACACCCTTTCTCCCAATAGTAGTTTGTTAGTTCTTGGGACTACTTGGTCATTACAGAATGATGATTATGGTATTGCTATGGTTATCATTTTTTCTCTTCACTGCCTATCACAAAACAAAATCATTATTATCATATATATATATATATATATATATATATATATATATATATATATATATATATATATATATATATTATACACACAAAATTTTGTTAAAGACTGCTATTAAGGTACTGTGATAAAGCTTTTTTAAATTTTTCTTGTGTTTGTACAAAAGTTTATTTACTGGGTACAAAGTTTGTAAAAATAGTCCAATGTACTGACTGTGTTTTTGAAAATAAAACATTCCTATAACTTCAGATGCATAAAAAAACACCACACATTCAGTTGAAAAATGAAAAGAAGGATAGTTCTTGATAATGGCTCAAAGAATAGCTGAAAGCACTCAGATATGCAGAACTTTTGGACAGTTTTTACAGTGTCCAGAAAAGAAAACACTTGTATGTACACAAGAAAAATTAAATAAATAAAAAAAACTTAATCGTAATGCCTTGTCACTCATCTTTAATGATCTTGTATAAAAGAGGGATTGCTGCCCCAATACACAATTTATTTAAATGATCTTTATTACTCAGACTGTGTATGTGTCAACCAGCTTTGTATTGATTTAATTAAAAGCATTTAATGGAATTTGGCTGAAAAATAGAATCTGCTGAATATTTAAAAGTTAAAAACCTTGTCTTTCCAAGCTTGTGAAAAGGACTCCCAAATTGTCTATATGAGTTTGTTTTTTTTTTTTTTTTTTTTATAGCATCCTCCAAATTTTATGTTGAGAACAAATTCCAAGCATAGAAAGAAGATTCCACATATTCTCTTGTTATAGCTGCTTAAAAAGCATATGGACTGTCTCCATTATTTAAACAATGTGAATAATTTGTGTAATTGGTTCACTTTTATCCATCCATTGGTCATTTTTGGATTTGTGGATAGATTAGATAACCTGTGATGCTTTACACCTGATGACCTGTTATACATAATCATTATTCATCGTTTTAATTTCATTAGCAAAGCAATTTAATCATTTTACTTCTTTAATGAACATTTTTAAAAAAAATTTTTTTATTTGACATCTTGATCTACAAGCTGGAATTTTATGTGAAATTTAAATAGTTTGAATTTAATTTTTCATGAGGAAATCATTAATATTTTCTAATTCTTGAAAGAAGCCACTGTTTAAAAAATTTTTGTTCAAAATAAAATGTATAATTTGATTGGTGTATGAAATCTTAGTATTTAATACTGATAAAAATGTTATGATATTCTTTAAAAAAAATTTTGTCTTTATTAGGTTTATTTTTAGTTTTTTTTCATTATTTTGGGTGCTTTTGACAGCTTTAATTCACTTATGCAAACTTTTTATTTGCTTTTCTCCATTCCTCCTTAAAGGGAAGATAAAGGACTTAGTTTTTTTTTTTTTTTGTCTAATAGATTTTAGAGGAATGGTAGAATGTCTTGAATTTGATTTGATTTTAATAAGAATAAAGTTCCTAAATGTACTCTTGAATCCTTCATCTACTTGTATAATATTGATGGTTAATGACTAAGATGGGCAAGTCTGTAGATAATGGGCAAAGTATAAGAGAAATAGAAGATTAAGTCATATATTAGCTGATTTACAAGCAGATTGAAAAAAAAATTCCTGTTTTTTTTTTTTTTCTTTTCTTTTATACAAGTGAAGAACATTTAATTCTATTGAATTTTTTTAAACAACTGCGTTTTCCAGTAATTATTGACTACGAAATCCTCATTAAAACTTTTAACTGGTGTGTACATTGTTTACGTGTTTAATTTTCTTCTCTTTTTTTCTTCTTTTTCCTCTCTCTCTTCTCTTTTTCCTCTTCTCTCTTTTTCCTCTTCTCTCTTTTTCCTCTTCTCTCTCTTTTTCCTCTTCTCTCTCTTTTTCCTCTTCTCTCTCTTTTTCCTCTTCTCTCTCTTTTTCCTCTTCTCTCTCTTTTTCCTCTTCTCTCTCTTTTTCTCTCTCTCTCTCTTTTTTTCTCTCTCTCTCTTTTTCTCTTTTTCTCTCTCTCTCTTTTTCTCTTTTTCTCTCTCTCTCTTTTTCTCTTTTCTCTCTCTTCTCTTTCTCTCTCTCTCTTTCTCTCTCTCTCTTTCTCTCTCTCTCTCTTTCTCTCTCTCTCTTTCTCTCTCTCTCTCTTTTCTCTCTCTCTCTCTCTTCTCTCTCTCTTTTTTTCCTCTTTTTTCTTTTTTTTTTTTCTTCTCGTTTTCTCTCAGGCCTGAAAGTTTTTTTTTATGTAAATGGCTGTTTTGAAATCTATACCTATCACCCTTTTAAAATCTCGATTTATCAGAATCAAATTAATTTTCTTATCCTCTCTTCCCTCCCCAAAGTAAAAGGTTAATTAACATTTTTAAACTAGTTTAATATTCCCTCCCTTGATTCTGTTCTCTTTAGAAAATGGTTAAACTCTTCTACTGAATTTCTGAGAATATTTTAGAAGTGGATGGCAACTTTTTGATTTACTCTCCTCTCTTTGAAATACCAACAGATTTGATTTCTATTCTTTTGATATTTTATTCTGATTTGTCAGACTCCCTCAGAGGATGGGTGTGCATGCTATAATGGGTTATAGCTTGAGCTGAGAAATCATAGAGCTGAGTTCAATACCTTTTTAGAAAAGTTGTAAATTGCTTTCTGTTCTCAGCTATGGGTTAAGTAGTAGGATTTATATCTGGAAAAATATCTCAAAGAAATTGTTAATGCAAATATTCACTCAGAAAAAAAAAAATTCTTATAAACCAAAATGTTTCAACTTTAAATAACCCACAAAGGATTAAGCTGTAAAAAAATAAAAATAAAAATAAAAAAATAAATAAATAAATTGACAGACCCCCAAAGATAATATGGTTTCCTTTTTAGTAGACAAAATGGCATTTATTTTTAATTTTTTTTTTTTTTTTATCATACACTTCGATTAGTAAAGGTCAAGTGAACCATAATTAGATGTTATCTTTAAAATTTTGGAATTCTTTGATACTGGAATTTAGAATATGATATCCTATAAAGCTGTTTTTCCTTGACCCTGAGACTGAATAATGGCATGAAGAACAATGTTATTTTATATAACATGAGTGGTATATGGATAAAAAGAAATTTATATTTATTATATATGTTTGCAGGACTGAGGGCTTTGTTTTAGGTTATTTTGAAAGTAAGAAATTTATTGACTAAAATAATTTACATTTGATAACATTATATAAAAAGTTTGTTCTTTGTTGAGATAATGGAGCTCATTA